AGTAATAGTTAAATAAAATTAAAGAATTAAATAAAAATATATCTTTCTTAAGAAGATATTATATTTTTAGAATACTTTATATCCTAAAAATACTAAATTTCTATAACTTATATAACCTACTCTTTAATAAGTACTTACTAAGGCTCCTTTATAAGGTATATAGTATATTACTAAATACCTTACTATAATATTATATTTAATAAGTAATATTTTAGAATAGAGAAGAAATAGAGGGAAAATAATTTAAAATATAAATAAAATAATTACTAACTTTATATAAGCTTTATATAATAATATATATTATATAGTTAAATACTATAGTTATATAGAGTATATTAATATAAAGTAGACTTAAGACTTATTTATATAAATAACTAATTTATTAATAGAAGAGTTTTATTAAGACTTAGAAAACTAATTTATTATCTAAAGGTCTTTTAAGCCTCTAAAGGAGCTACGCTTAGCTGCTCTAGCTGCCATTTTACTTAGAAAGCCTATACTGCTAATTGCATAAGCAGTCTTAAATGCATACAAATTAGGTGCCTAGATTACATGCAAGTACTACCATCGTACATAGCTGTACGGACCAGACAGGGGAGCGCTGAATACCGCTACTCCACCTGACCCCACCTCTTACATCTTTTGCTAGGGGTACCGTGGGAAAAAAAAGTTCAGCCAGTCGGAAACCAGGGAAGTGTGAAAAAAAAAAAAAAAATTCACGAGAAGGGAGCTTTTGGTTCCCAGTGTTGTCGTTGCCCAGCAAACAAACATCCGGCCCTCTGAAAAAGACCCTGAAAATTACCCGGGGAACCCCATCTGGTCGAGCAATAGGCGCGCTATTTGTTACCGAGTGTCTTAGTCGCAAGACGATCCATCTACAGTCAATTCTCAACTCAGCATCAGTCCGACCGCCCAAGGAAACAAAGCAATCCATCATTCAATATGCCGTATAACACTCGACGCAAGTCGCTTTCTTTGCCATCTCTGGGAATCCACGTACCTGGGAGCCATGCCCATCGCAGTCCCGCCACCGCCAGCTCAAATCGGAACATCTCTGAGTGCACACCGAGTCGCATCACCATCATACCCCCCGTGACACTACAATCGAACAAGAGACAGAAGCGATTCCATGGTGACGGGACTCAACGCAAAGGAGACTCGCTAAGGCGCCCCGACGAGAAAAGCATGCTGGAGCACACGCCACCGCCATCCCCGACGGCCGAGGACGTCAAGATCGGAGACTGTGGCAACGCAACATCATCAATAAACATCAAGCTGGAAGCAATTAATGACGAGATTGTGGAGGCCGTCGTCGTCCAACTGCAGGCGACCGCGAACAGGCCTCATCTGGTTAAGGAGCTGGCGACTGTCTTGTCGCAGCAGTTGCCTATCGTCCAACAGTACGCATCATTGCCACATTCTGCCCCCATGCCTCTTCCCTCTCACATTGATTCTTGCCCGTCGTCCTCGACTCTTTCGACATGCGGTGTGCTAACAAATTGAAGCTCTGCCAATCCTTGTGCCATTGTATCCTCACGTCTCGCTGCCTACATCAAACGATCGTGTTGGAGCACGCTTGCACCCTGTCCTGTAGCCAAGGAATTGGAAACGGTACATCCTCGCAGAACTTACTTTTACCTCACAACCTGCCCCAGACGGCCCCTTCCCGACTCAACAATGCCACTTCTTGTTCAGCGGTCCGTCATCTCTCCATCATTATCCAGTGTAGCATCTGGGTCTGAGGACGGTGATGACATGGATTTGCGCCGAAGAGAGCTGAGTCCATCACCAGAGGTGGATCTGTCGTCTCCCGAGTTTGACGATGCGGATGACGACTTCGCGATGCCTTCGACGCCTGTTGGGTCACTTCCCACTAGTTTGAGGTATGCCAGAAGCCACCGGAGTGCGTCACCTCCCCTCGAGAAGGACGAGCGAGAATTCACACAGACCGCCGATGTGCTTCAGAAGCGCAAGCTCGCTCGCGAACTCTCAACAGCTACAGCTGACCACTCGACGGCCAATACGTATGAAGGGTCACGTGAGGATACCATGTTCGAAGAGAGACAAAGTATTGCCGTAAATGGCAATGTTGCCCCAGTCCACTTCCTGACAAGCCCTGCTATCAAGGCAACTATGCCTCCCAAAAAGGACACTGATGGGGACAGCTGGCTGAAGCTAGGTGTCCTCCTAGAGTGGGATCACAGCCCGGAAAACATTGAACTCGACGAGCTTGATTGTTTACTGGACTCATGTTGAGCGGTGTGTGATGTGCAAGGTGAAGCTGAAGAAATTCTTCTTGTTTGTCCATGCCGAGATCTCATGTCCAATGCACAAATGCTGCGTCTTGAAGTGGTCAATAGAACATTGGTCATTTCAAGATCGGTCATGTGGTTGTGGTTTGCCATGAAGAGCAGATGATGGGGCATAACAGCTTGTAGCCACCGACATCATGGTTTTAAAATCGAAGGACATGTTGTGCTAGTAGATGTATTACAAATGTAGGATGCATGCGTTCACGAAGGCTGGGTCTTGCGGGGATTCATATGCCGGGGAGACGGAAAACAGGGAATACGGAAGCTCTTGGGTATGATTGAAATGAAATAAACCAACCTCTCCTGTCTTAAATCTGCAGAGCACCTCCATTTCCACTTCTTGATGGCCATCGAGGTTACAAGCGCCAGCATCGCCATGCTCCCACCGGACGGGAAAATCAACAGGTGTTCTTGACTCTCAGTTCAATCCATAAAGTGGTTCCCAGTTGGGTCAGGTAAGGGCGCTCGATCTTGACGACCTCGAGGCCTGGCGTGGATTCAGCGGCGTGATGGACGATTTCGGCAATATCTCGATTCCACCAGCATCCGTACTTCTGAAAGTGGGCTGGTGCTGACCTGTCTAGTAGGCCATTGACGATGCCCCACGACCCCCTCCCGTGCTCAACAAGAATGATCTTCCCAGTGTTCGGTTTCACCATACTTGCCAAAGTTCTAACGACTGTCTCCGGGTCTCGCACACTGCAGAGTCCAAACGTCTGAACGACAGTGTCGTACTTGGCTGTTTCCGCTTTGCCTTGTATAGGGGCAGGCACAAAGTTATGTACGTCAGAGCGAAATAATCGTAGTCTGTCCGATAAATAAGAGAAGACACTACATCCATCTTGAGTCAATTGTTGCGTTTCAATTGATGGTGCGACGCCCTTCAGGTCGGGGACGGCTTCGGATACTTTATCCAAGGCGACCGTCAACATTTCTTTGGAAATGTCCACACCCGTAAAGGACAAAATGGGCGCAGGTGTCGTGATCCCTTTTTTTTGATCGTCCATGGGTGCGGATTCGGGTTGTTGAACGACGTGGTTCCAATTGTAGAAGGGTAGATTGCGGCCAGTACCGATTGCGACTTCCAGGACATGCCCCGAGGCTTCAGCGGCTAGTTTCTGCCTTAAAGATGTAATCCCCATCATCCATTCCGACCCATCGAGGTATTCATCAAATCTTCGAGCTGATTCTTCCGTGAACACGGCAATCTGGCCAGGCGGAAACGCGTCTGTAGCAGGTTCTGGGCCTTGACAGCCAGAGGAGAGCCAACATGAAGTGAGCATGGTGCTGACATAAACGCCCATACCCAACGCAACTATGCCACAAGCCAAAAGAGACGTTTTTCTGGACCTAAATATTGCGTCGGCGGTTTCGAGATCGTTCGTTATCGACTTTGGCGTTGTTGCATGGGAAGAACGAGCAGGAGCAAACGGTCTGGCAGAATTTCTAATATAGTTAGTGCTGCGGGAGCTGCTCGGTCCGGACGACTTACCTCAAGGATGTTTCCTTCTTCCACTGCATCCGAGACGATGTGAAGCGTCGGAGAGCAGAAACATGAGTATTGGTAGACAGAACTGGGGCGGGCAAGCGGCCAGCTCGACCCCGTAGCCCGTGCCGTGGAACCATGGCGCTTCTTCTTGCCGACGTCAACGGCTGGAGGGAAAAATGCCGATTTAGTGTACAGCAAACGCTGAAAAACAGAAATCTCTGCGAGCACCGCAGTTTCCAAGGGTCCTGGGAAAGGGTGCCGAGGGGCAGGTAAGGTTGAGCTCGAGTCTTGTTCTGAAAGATAATGGTCGCAAACCCGCTAGTCACTTTGGGCACGGGGTGGGGCCGTAGTTTGGGACCGGATCGGGGTGCCCCGGTGCCGAAGGGTCAGCACTTTCGGCGCACTCTACTTGAATCCTCTCAGACCCTCCATCTAGCTGTGATCGATATGATACGCCATTTGTTTGATTTCATCAGACGTGATACCGGCCTTTGATGCGGGTTCACAATGTTGAAGATGAATTACCTCTCACAAAGCTGGAGCAGTAGGTCACACATTTAACTCATTTGTCCTATTCAAGCCTTATCCGACCTTTCCTGGTATCGTAACTGCAGTATGGAGTTCAGGTTGAGCCAGCCCTTCGCACCCCAGCCCGATGGCCCTGATTCTACGTCGGGTCTTACTCGCACGTAGAACTGCCATGCTCTTCGGTCCATTTCTTGCGGTGATATCTGGGGCGCCCAACTTTCAAAGAGGAGCCTCAGGGCACCTAGTAACTTCCCTAGGTTCTGGCGCAGTTCAGCTTCAGACTCTTTCTTGAATGTATGTCTTGATTTGGAACCGGTCTTGCCACCTTTGCTATTCCCCTCCGAACTTGGCCCGGAGGCGAAGCTTTTCAAGAGGTACGCTCTTGCCGACTCAGGCCTGTGTATTGCTACCCCGACGACGCTGCGATCACAGCCATCGTGGTCTTGGGAACTGTTGCTGTTCCCAACCGGGTTGCTGGCTACGTGCTGAAGGTCGAGAGCCCAGACAGCAGCTCCATCGTGTTCAGCAGAGCTCCGGAATAGCCTCAACCGGTCCGATAGCGCTTCGATCACGCAAGTCCTCATCAGTCTCCATCTATCGGGGCCCAACATTTCACCTCCATACCAGCGAGTCAGCACCACAATAACCCCAGTCGCTCCTGTCTCCCTCATCAGACGCAGAATGAACTCCCCGCATCCTGTTTCGCCGTCGTCTTCGCAGCCTTCGCGGGTACCTCCATTCCCACCCCCGTCTTGATCACCCTGGCATACCCTGTAACCCCATGCATTATGAGTTGCGGTTTGTAAGCTGGGCTCAGACGTAAGTAACGAATGGAGAACACTGGAGACTTGCGAGGGTTGTTCTAGAGTCGAGACTCGCGCGACGAACGTCGATGACTTGAGCGTCACCTGTGTGCTTGTAGTCCATCTGGAAGACCCAGTGATGGATTTATCCACGCTCATCTGGCTTGGCGTATTCATTGTCAACCTCGCGTTCACCGTGGCAATAGCGGTTGGCACTGCCACCTGGTGTACCGAGCGGGCATGGTAGTCACCCCGTTTAAGAACGGTGATACTTCTGCCCATGACTGTCACTTTAGGCTGACCCTCACCCCAAGACGCGCCTTCGGGTATACTGTCGTTCAACCCAAGACTGGCGGCTTTGAACCTGGAGTTGACACTGACAACAGCCTGAGCTAAGCTGAGGCGACTGGAGAGGGGCTGCTCAGGCATGGTGAACCGCAAAAGCTCGATGGCAAAAGCAAGCATCACCGGCGCACGATTGGTGTAGATGGACACTCCCTCAATGCCCTGTTCATCTGTAATGACAGGCAATGCCAAAGCATCTTCCAGGCCTGTGCTCTGCTGCTCCGACTCGATGCTCTGCTGCTTCGACTCGATGCTCGTGCTAGCACCAGGATCAATTTTCGGCCGCTTTCGATCGGGTCTATTGGTTGGTGCATCCCCAGCTCGCTTGTTGCTTGGCCGCTTCAGATGCGACTTGCAGGCGGACTGGACCGATCTGGCTGTTTTAGAGTCCCCGAGAGCACCCTCAACCACGTCCGGCAGAGCATCTGCAATTTGCTGAATGCTATGAAGCGTCTTGGTAAGCAGGCATACTCCAACACTTCCCGCTACTTCAAGAGTGCCTCCAGAACCTACCTGCGAAGATTCACAGCCTGGAGTGCTTTGACCTGGCTCATGGCCGTCATCATTGGCACTTTGCGCGCCGTGATGAGCCGCAGGAGGTCTTGGAGATCCTGCTGAGAAGCCATCCGGAAATCCTGAAAAGTAGAAAAGTCCTATTCACGCAAAGGCAGAAATGACAATTTGACGGGCGTGGTTGGACTTGATCACGAAAATAGACACTGATTTGGACTTGTGTTAGTTTGGGTGCAGACTTCCCCGTCATGAGGGGCCTATGAAAGATACCTGAAACACCATGCGCACTTAGAGTGAAGTCAGGTACCCAGAGATAAGCATTTGCTCCTACCTAGTCGCACATCCGGCTGGCAAGAAAGTCGTCAAGTGAATGACTTACCTCGGCCCTAGCGAACTTGTGGATCCCACATCAACTTGCGCAACAAATCTTGGTCAGCCAGCATCACATCAATGCCAAAAGCCTTCCACACGTGCCAAATTCTCAATTCTCGTTATCTTACATTTAGTTATGTAAATACTACATCTGCGTCCTTTAGTGTCCGCATGGTACGCCCATCTAGAAATCATCGCCAGCGCTACCTCCCAACCCCTTTTACGCCGCTTCATTCTCGGCTTCGCTACCTCGCTTTTGATTACTTGGGAGAGACCATTTTCTCCGGATTCCCCTCACCTGGAAGCTATTGCAGGTTTGTCAACACTTCCTGGAGAAGCTCATGCCCTCTGTAAGACCGCATGGAAGCGTTCAAGGACCTGCAATGCTGCATCAGCTGTCTGTTTCTCAAACCACGAGAAGGGTTCTGGCGCGAATGACTTACCTCAGGGGTTGACTTGACGAATGGAAGCTCAAAGAAGTTGTACTTATCATTCTTGAGCAGCTCGACAACAGTGACCATCAGACCCCACGGCTGGGGCCAGAATCCGATGAGGCGCTCCCACAGCACGCGAATGATTTGTTGCTGAATATCTGGTTCCTCTGGATCCTTTTTGTACCCAACAAAAGCCTCCAAAAGGACCCGACTAAAGTAGTTGGTGTGAGCGTTGGGAAATCGGAGCTGATTTATGATGCTCATGATAAGATAGTAACGGGCTTCGGGAGGTAGCTCGTGAATCAGCCTAAACAGAATAGCCACATCTGAGGAGGCGGGGTTGAAAACATCGGTGCCCTTCTGCGTCGCCTGTTCGACCGCATGGTTGCCCAGGTGCAAGGTCACAGCATCAATGACCCTCAGGTTGGCGTGAATAGGCACATGGCCAAAACCTGTCTCCGTACATTGGCTGTCGACTATGGCCCGGGCAACGTGTGCCAACATGTCTTCGGAAGGACCATTGTGCAGCGCATGATCGAGCACTTCAAGAAGTCCCCATTCCCGCAGTTGGTATGTGGAGTTGTCAAGGCTTTCAGGTGATTCCCGAATCTCATCCATACGATCAACTTGCAGTCCCGGGAATAGAGGATCTGGCATCTTGAGGTGAGCAGCCGGATTTGCTGTCAAGATGGCGTTGAGGAGTTGCTTGCAATGCGGGGGAATTGTGGCTGCAAGCTGATGGGAGTGCGCTGCAAGATATTCCGAGTAGTCGTGCTGCAAGATTACAAGCAGCTTCAGGGTGGCACGGTAGATTTCTCTAGCCACATTTGACGGCTCTATCGCCTTGACCTGTTCTCCGACGTGCTCCAAAAGCAGTTGAAGTAGTCTGGTGAAGACAATCCAGCCATTGCGGTCCTTCATAATGCCAGGGAAAAACACCCGATGCTGCAGAAGTGACAGCCACCCGAAGACAAAGCCGGGAAGGTATCGGGGGCCAAGATCGGCGAGTCTGGAGCCAAATTTGAGAAAGATTTCAGACCTCTCTTCTTCAGGAAGTTGCTCAGCCGTCGAATTGACCTCGTAGAACAGCACGGACAACAGACGGTGGAACACTCTCTGGTTAAAGTGCTCGGCACGTCGTACGTGGTGATGATTGAGGACCAGCGTAATCAGGGCCAGAATCGAGTCGAGATAAACTGCTCGGCTGAGAGCAACCGTTGACTCAGGTGCACTGTGCAACCTAATGAAGACGTTGATTATCTTGGCCAGAGCATCAACGGCGAGGAACGCATCGGTCAGAGTACCGGTAGAGTGAACAAGATGCTCAAATCGATCCACTGACAAGTCTGTGGCAACTCTAATGAAGAGAAATAGATCGTCTTTGCTCTCGACAATGCCTCTCAGCTGCATCTGCTGCACAAACATAACGGCTGAATTATCTGACGCGTTTGGGTTATTGCAGAGATGGATCCATTCGTCGAAAATGTACTCCATCTGGTCCTGTTGCAGCGCGACTCCACCTTCTTGTTGCTCGAAGTGTGGCATGGCTTGTCCGGATAGTTTAACTTTGAGTCGCTGTGCCACGGCGGACTCTGAATCTTCTTGAATCCACGCCCAAGCAGCCTCAAGCGTGAGGACAAAGTCTCCATAGAGTGCGAGCGGCCGATTGCCAAGGAGAGTGAGATCAATCATCTGCTCCAGAAAGTCGAGCGAACCTTCCTTTCTTGCCTGCAGTGCCTTGGCCATTGACGTATCGATATTCCTCCAGTCCAGAAGATCGGTGCGCAACAACGCAGCCAATAGGGGAATATGGAAGAAAGAGGTGCCAGGTTGCTGTCGGAACAATGCTGTCACTCTGTTGTTCAGTGATGGACCTGAGATTTTTCGCAATGTTTCCAAGACGTGTACCAGGCTCTCGAGGGCGAGATTGTCATCAATTGGGCTGAAGACGAGCTGAATGATCTGGTCTGCAGCGAAAATTGCGAATTCCTCAGATGTCTGCGAGGCCTTGATCATATGCTGTACCAAAGCGTCCACCACATCAAGAACAGGATGGGGCCTGGGCAGATCGGCGAAATGCTCCTCGCGGGCTTCTGTCGCCACACGTTGGAGCTCCAAAAGTAACTTCTGGACGCGCTCAACCAAGGCGCGACCATCCATCTGGAACGTCTGCGGCCTCGCGTTCGCCATGTTTCCGCTATGGACGGGACCGTACTGCGGCTGAAGTTGAGGGTTGATATGCTGCACAGCCGGTGTCTCCGAGCTAGCTGCGAGACTGGGTATAGCTGAGAACTGCTCTTGGAGGACCTCGTTGGCGAGCGAACGTGTCGCATCGGAGGCAGACGGAACATGGGAAGGGGCATTGGATGTGGTTGTCCGAGGCTGACGGGCAAAGTCGTCGTAAATTGCCATCTGTTCAGGGTTCAAACCTCCCATACTAGGCGACAACTTGAATGGGTTTGGAATAGTCCAAGCCCATCGGCTAAGAGAAGCATCCACATACGGGTCGGCAGGCCGTTGCGCCCTATGACGACGTCGCGCTTCTAGCTCGGGCTCAATCATTTCCTCGATCTCTGGAATAGCTCTTTCTTCGGCCTGTTTTTCGATAATGTTACAGGCAAGGTCCAGATTCGAGTTAACGCACATGATGATGGTGCCTTCTGGGAGGCCCTGAGGGAGATCGTTGGACAAATTTCGCATGTAATTTGTAAAATTGGCTCTCAGGGGCTCCTTCGATGTCACCAAGGCTAGGCTGCCGGCAGTAGCCTTGACCATGTTGATTGCCGATGTTCTGACCCTGTTCTCATCTGGCTCTGTCGCGAAGTCTTTGTGGATCATCTGCTGCGTGGAAATGGCAGCGATGGTAACGGATCGATCCACAACAGGCTGTATAATGTCTTGTAGTGCTCGCGTCAGAGCGGTGCGTACAATTTCATGAAGTCGAGTAGCCGTAACCACCATCTCATTCGTGGGCGGGATGTGGATGAGAGGTCCGAGGTCCGGTATCGAGGCTGCAGCGACCTGGGGCGAGAGGGTGGCAGTGACTCCAGTGGTGATGCCGTTGAGTGATAGGCTCTCGAAAGTCTCCAGTGTATCTTGTGGGAGTAGCTCTTGGGTTTCTTCTACCACAGCGCGATTGAGAATTTCCCCCGAAGGCTCGATACTTCTGTGATCAAGATTGAGCCCCTTGCACAAGACCTCGATCTCGAATTTCAAATTGAGTTTGAGTTCCGCATGATGGTACAGTTCGATGAGCAGGTGGATGATATCCATTAGCCAAGGGTTGGGCGGGCGGAAGACGGTTGAAGTTGCGCCTTGTATGAGGACCTTGCAGACGAACGGAATTACTACAATCAGCCTCTTCGTATCATGAGCCTCAATGAGCAACTGTTTGAAGGCGATGTTTCTGTGCTTGATCGGTTTGTCGCGCGCTAGGGTCAAAAGTCCCAGCCAGCCGCCAAGGTTCTTGAGGTGAGATCGCTCGGTTGAATTCTGCATTGTAGCCTCAGAATTGAGCATGCGTGCGACACTAACATACGTCTCTCTCAACACCTCAGACCACAGAACCTTATCCTCAAAGAGCTTCACCAATTCAAGGTACACCTGGTGATAATTTGGTTGCATCTTTGCACGCTCTTCGACAAGATGACTGGCAAACCACTGCTGGTGACGCTGCTCGAGAATGTCTCGCAGTTCCTTGCACATCGATTGAAGAGTAGTCTCGGTCAAATTGTTCAGGACAAACTGAATCTTGCCCTGAGTGTCGCTTGACGGCTCTTCGAAGTCGACGCCAGGCGAGCGTGCTGTGGCATTAATAGAAATGAAGGGCGGCGGCTGGCGCTCTGCAGTTCGCCCTTCGGATGTGTTGCCATTTGTAAGTGGCTCAGCGCTAACTGAGGATCTGTGAGCAGGCGCTGCTGTGCCATTGCGCGATCGGGCAAGTTCGTCTTCATGATCCCGCACAACGTCTTCAGCCTTCTTCCATGCCTCAGTGCCTTGCAAGCCAGGGATCTGCAGCAATTGCCTGCAAAATCCCGGCCATTCCCGAAAGCGAGAGAAAAGTTGCATCAAAGCCTGTAGGCCAAACTTGTACATCGAGTCCTCCGGCATGTAATCTCTCACCGCTTCTAGGATCATCCCAAGACCGATTTTAAGGGGAAGATCGGAAATCAGCTTGTGTGAAATGATACCGCCGAAGAGAACAGCAGTCGTTGCAAGCGCTTCCAATGGGTAATCGACGTAATGCGAGTACTCGTCAAATAAGCCGTGAATCATGCAGGCAAACACGTCCTGATCCAAAGCCTCGCGAGAGTGCTTGTATCGATCGAGGATTTCGACGATATTTCGCACTTGTATCTCGTCACCGTACATCTTTTTGTAATGCTCCTCCATCTTACTGTTGGCGGCAGAGGGCAAAGCATTACCGTCCTTCCCATTAGCATCAATGATGTCATCGAAGCCTTCACCATAGTTGATCAGCCTTGGGTAGACAGTGATGCAAGAGCGTTGAACCATGATGAGGTCCTGAAGTGGTGTCTTGGGAAGGAAATCCTCTAGGATTTGGAGAAAAGCGGCAACAGTTCTGACCTGCAGCGTTGTGCTGGACTTGACATGCGGTTGTCCGTCGGGAGGGCGCTGAAACTGCAACTCAAGGTTGGCCTTGATCAGCAAGAATTGCAACAGCGATCGCGCAATCTCATTGCTCCTCTCAGCGTTACGACGAGCCCAGCTCGTGAGGTCAAGATACTTCTCGGCATGCGCAAGAGCCGCGAGATCTAAGCCAAAGCCATTCGGCAAGTACACCAATTCGTCCAACCACTTGTGCTTGAGAGCGTGTTCGAAGATGAGGGGAAGATCGGTTGGTTTGATCGCATGCGCATCGATCAACCGTTGAATCACCCATTCCTTGTCTTTTTTCCACAGGCTGTCAAGCACGAAGTCGTATTCAGTCGAACGTTTGTAGAGAAAACTCTCAAACAGTGAGTTCAGAGTGTCGACGGCCATTGTGGGCCAGGGCTTTGGTACTCCAAACGCGGAGACAACAAAAATATCCAGGTTTGGAACCACAACTTCTTGAAAAAGTCGCTTAGCTTCCACGCTCTGTGAAGCATGTACCGAATGAAGTGCGACATGGAACACCGCAGATAGTGCCTCCACGGAGACCAAGGCATGTTTGACAGCAAAAGCTGCCCGTTGCTGAACTTCTGGTGATGATTGCGCATAGGTATCCAGAGTCAGAGTCGGCACCAAGCCCGGTATGGAGCTGGCGTCTAATTGATCAGGCTGAAGAGAGGCAAAAGCGCATATGAACGAAAGTTGTGTTTCCGGGTTTTCCCAATTGCCGCCCCACAGTTTCTGAATATCAAATTCTGCATCCTCCCGCGCAATCGGCAGCAAAGCATTGTAGAGACGGAGGAACTGTCGAGACGAAACCCGCGTAGATCTATGGTCAAAGTACGATACCACGTCCTGCCATCGGAATGAGGCTGGTAGGACTCGGCGGAGAGCTGCGGTGAGGACGGACGGGTCGTACTGTGGTGTCTGACTGATCGTGGCATAGATAAGGGCCATCGATACCTGCTCCTCACTCAGTTGAATTTGTTGAGGGCGAGTCTGCAGGTAAGAAACGCACGCCTCCTCGTCCCGGGTAAAACCAAACCCAGTTCTCTGAATGTAGGTGGCCAGCGCATTCGGTGGCTTGTCTGCTAGAACCCTGACAAGATCTAGAGCGGCAAGAACCTCAGATGGCGGTGGCGGTTGGGCATCCTGCCATCTAGCCAGTACCTTATAGGTGAGTTCAACCTTCGCAGCGGCGTTGAGATTGGGAGGTTGATATTGGATGAAGCGATCGACAAGCATGGCGATGAAGGTATCAGTCAGGTCTGCATGTTCATCGTGACCTCGCTGGTTAAGAATGTTGACGAAGGTGGGAAAGTTGGTTGAGAGGATAGCATCCGCTATTACGAAAGTCAGCATAAGGCCCATAGAGAAACACCTGGGACAAAAAACCTTTGGTCTTGAGGTCAGACCTTGATCCCATCTTGAAAGCCAATGCGAGTATCGTTTTCTCCAAGGCATCTAGCTTGAAAGCCTCCATGAAAGTTGACATGTCAAAGTCGCGGAATATATCTTCTGTGCCAGTCTCGATGGACTCGGCAATCTTGTTGGCCTGATTCACATCATGGGAAATCTTCTTCATCTCGTTCGCGAGCAGGTGGAAATTGCCGTTGCCTCCGGGGCGTGGTTGACCATGGAAGATGTGTGCAGCATGAGCCGCGACGAGGCGTGTGAAGTACTTGGCGAAGACCTCCATTCCGTGTTCATCGATGAGCTGCGAGCGACAGAAATCGCATTGGTCAGCGAGATGGCCGTGACAGAGTATGTGAAATTGCCTAGTTAATGGAGGGCGACTTAGCTGCGTGCGTACCTTTCGTAATTGCTCTGCCTGCGTCTCCCACTTGGCGCGGTCCTTGTCCTCCTTGATAGCTCCTAAAAGGAGGTAGACCTGAGCGACGGCGATCTTGACCACGGGATTGGGCCCTGTCGGACTACTCGTACTTGGACTTGCGCCCGCACTCAAGGCGGCGGATTGCGATGGATGGGGCGAGTGCCCAGCCCCGGTCTGCACTGTTTGCGAAGGATACGGAGAGAATGATCCCGATCTTGGATGTGGGACCATGGGATAGTATTGCGAATAGGGAGTGCGCAAGACGGAGGCGTCTGTCCTGCAAGAGTTCAGACAGGCTTGCCTTCGCCAAAACTTCCGAAATCGTGTCGTCCGTGAAGACTACCGTACCCAAGATGCCCACATGAACGACGGGGAGGTTCAAGAGCTGGGCGACAGGTGGCTCAGGCTAGCCGAGGCTGACGACAAACGAAAGACGACGGAGCTGCGGGATGTTGGCAAAAGCGAGAGCGGTGTCGAAAATAGGTAGCGTGGGAGAGGTTGTGGCCAAATGAAGCTCGCTGCGGAAGGAGAGAAGAGGAGGGGAGAGAGCTTGGTTCGGCGTCAACCAGTCGCAATCAAAGTGAGGTACTTGATGGTATGTGGGCGGGGACCGACACAGCGTCGTCGAGGTTTTCCGTTTTGATTTTCTTTCCCTCCAAGGTCTGCTGGAAGTGCAGACACAGAGACAACGTGTAAACTGGATGGGCGAAAAGGTGCGACGCTGTTCAAGACGTCTGTCGTGAGGAGGTATGTGATGCTGAGGGGGACAGCTTCGCAGAAGGAGAAAATAGATTCTAAAGGGTTTACGTGAAGACGTGGAGGCTCCAAGTTGTAAGCAGGGGGGTTGGTTGGACTGTGTGAGTGTCCTGGATGCACCCCAAAGGTCGGCAGACTGTCAGGTAGGTAGGTGCCTGAGGGTGATGGTGGTACGTGCCTGTGCTGTCCGTAAGGTATTGGATCTCAGCCGGATTGGCACCTGAGGGGGTGAGGTGCCTGGCACGCCAAGTATTTGCGTTGGTCACGTAGGAAGGACGTGTATTCAATTGGAGTACCTGAGGTATGTAGCGTGCTGGTGTGGGGAACAAAGCCAAAGAAGACACCTTCGGTGCCAGGTTTGACTTGACGTTCTGGAGAGGACAGTCTAACTTCAGCCCGCAGCACGTGATGTGTCAAGTGGTCCCTGAACTTCCTGCTTGGACAGCGAGCACCTGACTACCTAGGTAGGTTGGTACTTTGCGAATACCTGACCTAAAGTACCTTATCATTGACTGTGGTAGGTGACGGGCGGACTAACCCCACCATGCTACCGACGCCGACCGTACACTACCTTAGGTGCTTGCTTGCCTAATTACCTACCATAGTACCTATTCCGTGGGTAATCAGGTCGGGTTAAAGAGATCCGCCTCCCGATGCTGGAGCACGAGCCTTTCGCCTAACATACTATGCGCAGTATTGCCTTGCCTTATGTAACGTGCCTCATAGGTAAGCACTGCACGTGGGAGGAGGCAAGGGAAAGCTGAGTACCTACGGGTCTGTTGGTAGTTATTCGTAGATGCACCAGGGTGGCCCAGTTACCCCGGCAACCCTCCCAAACAATAAGGAACCACCACCCACCACCTGTCCCCGACCTACGGATGCATAGGTTCATCATTATTTCGGCGGCACGAACTTGGCCATCGCCAGATAGCCTTTGGGAACAATCTTCTTCCAACTGCAGGTCATTCTACCTGCCGGCGTTGCCAACGAACAGCCTCAGAATCGACGGATATTCCACAGGCCGGCGACAAAACCACGACGCTGCTGGCATATACCGACCTACGCATCGCAGGACATGCCTGCTTCTACCATGGAAAGCCCAGCGGTGGCTTTGTCTTGTAAGTTTAAGATCGTGGTAATTATATGTCGAGTTATTGCTGATATGTGTAAGTCGCCAACAACTTTTGGGGTAAGGAAGATGCTGGCGTTGGACCCCTTCTCGATCGGATGGCTGCAGCCAAGCAAACATGCGATGAATTGAAAGCATTTTATAGTGGTTAGTCAATCATCGACGGCTTCTTCCTGTCGGAACTTGACTAAGCTGATGAATCAAACAGCTCGCGCCTCTATCGAAGACGAATACGCTCGGAAGCTACTGTCTCTATGTCGCAAATCACTAGGCTCCCAGGAGATGGGAAGCCTCAAGAACTCCCTGGATACTGTCAGGGGAGAAGTAGAGTCAATGGGGAAGCAGCACCAAAATATCGCTGCTCAGATGAAGACCGAGCTGGAGGAACCGCTGGCCGCCTTTGCTGGCGCAATGAAGGAAAGGCGCAAGATTGTCCAGAATGGTATCGAAAAGATTCTCAAGACCAAGATACAGCAGACGCAGCATGTCAACAAGGTCGGCCTATATCTACCCAGAGAGCCCTGGGGATCCATGGAACATTCGTGCTGACTTGCGCATCAGACTCGAGATCGCTTTGAGCAAGAATGCCTCAAAATCAAAGGTTACCTGGCCCAAGGCCACATGGTCATGGGCCAGGAAGAGCGAAAAAATAAGGCAAAGCTGGAAAAGACGCAGATTAGCGTTGCGACATCCAACACAGAGTATGAGAACGCAGTGAAGGCCCTCGAGGATACCACGGCGCGCTGGAACCGCGAGTGGAAGGCAGCCGCAGACAAGTTCCAGGATCTGGAAGAAGAACGGCTGGATTTTACCAAGAGCAGTCTATGGACTTTTGCCAACGTCTCTTCTACGGTCTGTGTCAGCGATGATGCGTCGTGCGAAAAGATTCGTCTTTCTTTGGAAAAGATGGATGTTGAGACTGACATCGTCGGCTTCATCAAGGAACGGGGAACAGGGCAAGAGATTCCAGATCCGCCAAAGTATATCAATTTCTGCCGGGGGGATGTCAACGATACTCAGTCGGAAACATCTGACGACGACAACTACTCTGTCGCGCAATTTCCGAGGAGCATCAACCCAGCCTTTCGCACGTCGTCGCCGCAGCCGTCAACCTACGAATCGCACCACGATCCAAACTCCAGTCTTGCTCAGGATCTGGGCCACAAAGAGCCTGCAGCTGCAGCAACTAGAACGATCGCTACGGACGCTGGACGAAAGGAAGGGAACTCATCTTCGTCGAGGCACATGGCACAGGACGTGTTGCGAAAAACAAGTCCCCCTTCTAGGAGCTTTGCGTCGGATCTGGACCATCAGGATGTAAATCCTACCCCGAGGACCTTTTTGTCAGACCTTGGGCATAAAGAAGTCGGCTCTTCATCTCGGGGCTTCCTAACAGACATGAGCCACAGGGAAGCAACGAGCTCTTCATCAAGAGGCTTTCCGTCAGATATTGGACCCAAGGACCCTATTCTTGCTCCCCGGAGTCTGGGGCCAGACTACGGGCTCAAAGATGCCGGCGCCTCCGAGAGGACCCATAGTCAGGAAATCTCTCTAGCTAGGGAGATCATGCCTCCCGTTGCCCGGGAAGCCCCAAGCCTCTCCCAGAGAATGCCACCACAGCTTGAGAAACAACGACAAGTGGCGCCAGCCCCGCCAGCATCTCAGCAGCAGAGCCGTCTTCCTCTCGATATCAATCAGCACGGTACTTTTGCTTCCGTCCCTCACGACCCATACCCTCTCGATGGAATGACAATGCTATGTCGAAAAGGACCTCCATCGGAACGCAGTTCGCATCCTGCGTCGGCAAGACCGTCCAGCCGCGATTCTCAAAGTGACTACTCCAACCCAACCTCGCTCTCTAGTCAGGAGCCCCCGAGCGGTAAGGTCTCGCCGATCAAGCATGAACAGGTTAGCGTACCCGCATCAGTACCGGCTCAAGCACAAGCACCGTCAACGGCCTCGGCAACGGCGGAAAAGCAGGTGCTCAAGAAGAAGAGTGGTTTCTTTCAGAACCACAGCCCGTTCCGTCGCAAAAGCACCAAAGAAGTTCAGGGCACTACCACAAACAGAAACACTTGGCATCCTGTATCTACGCAAGGAAGCCCCTCACGTCGACCGCAGGTATACACGCAAGACGCCCCAAATCTGTTGGCGGGCAGATCAACCATAAGTCCCGAGCCGATCGACGCCAATGCCAGTCTAGCGTTGAACGTCGGCCAGAATGTATTCTCCGTCACGACGCCGGATCTCGAGAAAAGAAAAGGGTCAAATACACCGAGCGCACAGCCTGAAACGGATCCTATTGCGCTGGCCCTCGCCGAACTCAAGGGTGTTGGTGTAGGCAAGCAGTCTAGCATCCGTGTCTCGGCTGACCGCTACCACGGCATTGCAACGCCCACTCCTGGCTCGCAGCCGTTTTCTCGATCGATGCCGCCAGCTGCAACCAATGCCGCTGTCACAGCAGGGCTTCGAGGAACGCCCCCTCCTTCTTACGACCAACAAGTGGTACAAAGACTTGGGGTTCCGCCACAGGCTGTGACGGCGAAGGCAATGAAGGAAACGTCTCAGAAATTCGCCGACCAGACTCGCAGCATGTTCAACCCGGCGAACCGGCCTGGATCGGGAGGATATGCGGGCTCATCTAGTCCTCGGCCCATGACCAGGGGCAGTGACGTTCCACGAGCAGCATCTCCAGCGCCACTTCGCAGTGCTTCCCCTAGGGCGCCGGCGACAGATGACTCGCGAAGTGGGCACAGGAGCTCTCCGCGCAGTGCCTCTCCGAGGGTCGCGCCAGCAGACGATGCTAGGAGTAGCTATAGGTCGGCGTCGCCTAATCCGCACAGCTCTGTCGGTAGAGGGTCGTCGCAAATGAGCAGCGGTGCGCCTAGACGAGGCTCGGAGCAACCGTTTCACCGGCAAAACTCGCCGAGCAACATGTCACGAACAGCTTCGCCGGCACCATTCAGGGAGCAAATGCGACCAAACAGTAGCCATGTCAGCAACGATATGGCAGTTCAGCTTGCTCCCGTGGGTGATGATAGCTATGGCTCGGTTCGTGGCCGAGGCGGAGTACGACCAGGAACGAGCTCAAGCAACCGGGCCATGGGCTTATATGATGGTGGTGGGCCACCAGGACAAGGCGAGTCGAGACAACGGAGTAAGAGTGTTGCAGATCCATCTCGACAGTACACACACGACGGCCGACCAATCTTGCACTTTGGTAAGTACGTTGGAAATCATCAATAGAATAACCTGGCTAACAAGACCAACAGCCAAAGCACTGTACATGTACCAAGCAGCGATCCCAGAGGAGCTAGGCTTCTCCAAGGGAGACTTCCTTGCAGTGCTGCGGCATCAAGACGACGGTTGGTGGGAAGCGGAGGTACACGGGGGCAACGGCCAGATCGGACTCGTTCCGAGCAACTACCTTCAGCCTTGCTGAAAAGATTCGCGGCCATGGCTAGTGCAGGTGGCGCAAAGTAAGGCACGATCTGCGAAAGCTGTGATGTAATTCTCTCAAGTACCTTACGAGACACACGTTGTATGGTCCCCGCGTTGATGAGTGCTCATGACGTGGAGGACCGGTTTTGGGCTTTGCTTATTTGCGGATTTGTGATGATTTGCCAGGAGTTGGGGCTTCATAGCTGTCTGAAAAAATGTCACGATAATTGCCTTTCTTCGTACCAACCTTCGTACTTACATAAAGAGGTCAGACTGGTGTCATATGCGGCCTTCCACTCACTGAGCCTCAGAGGAGCCCCCCGTCCAGTGCCTCATCCCGCGACTTAGCAGCAACCGGCGCCCGTCAGGTATTAAAACCAAAAACTTTTCAGTAAGCGATACTCGGCAGTAAAAGCACACTAAAATAGCACTTCTCGGGGTCAAAGGGATGTCATTGCGCAAGGCTGAGCTAGGTGCCCCAGGACCTTGGAAGCCTGTCCAATTTCCCCAATTTTTAGCACATGCTTGCAGTGCATACCTGCCATCGTTTAATTCAGGTGAGGTAGTACATTTGCGAGCACGGTCACGGGTGCTCCTGGTCGGGGTACGTAGAACCAACCAACCCCACTTACTACCCTGGGCACCTTAAGGTGTGTTCTCCCTTGCTCCCTCGTTCACATCATCCTCCCCCGGGGCAAGGTGATGAGCTGCGACGTATCCCTTGCTCAGAACAACCATCCACCGTGACTGCACGGGTTAGAGGGAAGCAGAGCGAGAGGAAAGGGAACAGCCCAAGCGTCTTACGAACCATGGTATGACACCTCACTTCTCCGTATCTTCTTGACGTCGACACATGCCGATTGTAAAATACACAGGCTAATCTTCTATCGGGCTTGCCAGGAGGCTCTTAGCAAGGCATCCCGAGCAGCTACCTCCAAGACGGCACAGCGAGCTTTGGTGAACGTGACCCTCCTGGTAGGAACATCACTATTGCTTCTGCCCCTTGCTGCCACCGCCTCTCTCCTCTTCTTCCGGAATTATCTGCCTGACCAGGTCGTGAGCGCACCGGTTCATCTTCAGTATGGGTACGTTTGCCGTCACTGATCAAGCCAGTCTTGATCCCATTCCCTCTACTGGCTGCCTGGGCTTACAAAGGACACAGCTCGGGGATCAATCCGTTTGGGATAGCCACCATACCAAGCTCCAGTCTGAGGACACAGCAGGAGTACGATGTGTCTGTCACTCTATCTCTGCCTCGCTCGCCAGCCAACACTCATCGGGGCAACTTCATGGTAGCTCTGTACCTGCTTGATGCTGGTGCTTTGTCAACCGGCAACAGCCAAGTCCAGCCTCAGACCCCCCCAGAGCCTTACGGCCACTTTGACGGCAAATCCATTTTGTTTTCTTCACGACGGCCCACGCTCGTCCCGTACCAGGACCCATTGGTCTCACTGGCCTCTCGTGTATTGTTCATGGTTTACCATATTCTCTTCTCGAACTCCCAGACATGCGTGTTAACGGTGCCGATGGCCGAACGCGTCCAGCTGGGCAAGGGCTCATCCCTGCCATCGTCGGCATATCTGGAGATCCAGGGCGGCCAGAGCATTGAAACGTACGACGCGTCAATAACGCTCACAGCACAACTGCGCGGACTGCGCTGGCTGATGTATCATTACCGATTATCGACATTGACCGCGGCGATAATTCTTTTTTGGTCATCCGAAATCTTGTTCATGGCAGGGGCCTGGTTGGTCTGGTCTGGACTATCGGGCTCAAGTTCAAGGTTGGCCTCTGGACGTGGGGAAGACAACCCGAAACTTGGAATGCGGCTCAAGAGAGAAGAGGGGAGCGGGGTGGATGAGCTGTCAGATGCGCCCCGGACATTTCCTACCTATGGAAACCAGGCACCGCTCAGATACGAGCCCGAGGTCAAGGAAGAGCCACAGCCAGGCCTTCGGATGGAGGACCTCGTCCCACTCGGAGGTGAAGCTGACGATGAAGAAGAAGACGACGGACGGGCAAGTTTCAAGGGTGATTCGGGCATAGGGACGAGTTATAGCGAGGGAGGATCGGGTAGTGTTCGACGTAGGTCGTCACACAACCGCTAGCAGTTTTATTAGCGGAATGTGGACGGTGGATTGAGGGGTATGAGGTTTTGATATTCGTGGTGGGTACTTCTTGGTCTTCGCTTGTTTTCACCGTCACGCGAGCCGCAGCTGTGAGCTTCCCAGCTTAGGTAATAATACTGGTCCAGTTTGATTTGCCCGCCCGTCCCAAACCACATCCAGTGTCAGTGGTACCCGGACAGCCCCTCTATCCTCCTCTCGGTGCTGTTTTCTCCTGGAGCCCCACCCGCTGCAGTGTGCTTCGCTACCTTAGCGTACCTAGCCTCTTAAACCACTCACTCACCGCAATGCTTCACACCGCACGGCAGGATGCGAATTCGGCCTCTGAAGTCCTTCTTCTTCGTTGACCGTCTCTCCCCCCCCCNCCCCCCCCCCCCCCCCCCCCCCCCCCCTCACTCTCTCTATTTTTCTTTAAAAAAATAGTGTCTCTTTTCTGCTGGCTGTCTCCCATTTTCTCTCGCATCTTGCCCTACCTGAGCTCTGCTCCACCTTTCCTTGCCGGTCGTACCTGGGATCTTGCTATTACGTATCTACCTACGTACTTGGAAAACCAAGCCTGGCTAAGGTACTTCACGTACTAACAGCGCCGAAGCTCACCACACTGCTCTGCTACGTACCCGGCTCAATTGCCTCTGTCCCGCCTTGCCCGCACCGCACCCCTCACACACCGCCGCCAGTGCTGCCCACTGCTCTCACAAAGAAGAAGCCTTGTCCTTGTGTCGACCAAAGTAGTCACAACCTTCTCTCAGCCTCATCATTTGCCCTCCTTGATATCCTGTGTGGCCGCTGACAACGGGACGTCAACCAGATCGAACTGCCTTCGACCCCAGCCGCCAGGGGCATCATGCACACCACTTACTTCTAGGCCCCTCCGTTCAAAGTCCCATAACCTGCCAGGCCCACTCAGGACCCAAGCCAACGAAACCGAGAGACGGTGAGGGCTAAGCAAACTTCAACCATATCCTCCCGCCTCGAAATAGGGCAGCCTCTACTCACGCTTTGGTTGTGGCGCTCGTTCTTGCTTCGGCTCATGCTTCCTATCTTTACCCTTTACTTCCCTCCGTTCTTCGCATTTCATTCTCTTGCGAGCCTCAGCTTCTTGCCCCTCACGCCGCCGACATCCGAATCCAGCGAACGACCGAATCCCGCTGGCGCAATCTGCTGTCCGAACAACGACAGCCTTGACCGATATCTGCTTGCAACTGAGTACGTGCCCAGACGCGACCGATATCCCTCTCAAACATGCCCTGCTTCAAGGGCATCGCCGTGAGCATACACGCAAACGGCGCACCTCTCCCCGAGTATGGCATGCAGAAACAGTCGCGCTTGTCCCGCATCAGCACCTACATTCCCGTTCCACAGCCAAACATCAACCCTGAATCCAACAAACCGGAGCCCGCAAAGTTCGCCATTTCCATCACCCTCCTGACACCAGGCCTGCCCATCCCCTACTCGACGCCGAAGCCCAACGAAAGCAACCCTTACCCGAAGCCCCAGTTCGTCGGCGGTCTGCCAACCGTCGCCCATGGGCCGTCAAAGTTTTCCGGCGTCGTCAACCCATACATCCCCATGACCAACTCCGAGAACGAAACGATAGCAGCGTACATCTATTTTGATGGCAGAACTAAGGAGGAGGTTGCAACGCTGCTGAGGCCGGGCGAAGAAACATGGGTGAACAGTCGCTGGGTACAGGTTCCCGACTCCGAGGGCGGCGGCTTGGCGGAGCGAGAGTTCCTCTTTCGCGAAGTTGGACTGGAGCGTTGGCTAAATGGCTTGGACCTTCAAGGCCATGATGCGGCTGAGAAGCTGGAGCGTCGCCGGCAAAAGTTTGAGAAACGTCGTCGGCGTCAAAAGGCTGCAACCGAGTCTACCGGTATGCAGATGGAGGAAGGGCCCAACGGACCTCGAGATACCCTTCGGTATGGCGCTGATGACGGCTCCCCCGTCGAAGCTGTATTTGGCGAAGACGACTCTGATTCTCTGTCCGATGACGACGAAATCCCTGAGGCGACTGGACAAATCAAAGTGCTCATGTTTCGGGTACTGGCCTCCGGCGAGATCAAGAAGGGTGAATATTCACCGCAATTCGACGCTCATGACGACGACGACGACGCCGACGCCTCGAATCAGGGCAATGGAAAGTCAGGCGTTGATGCAGATGTTGAGCACACAACAAGCTTTGCCAAACCCAAGACGCTGGACCCCAAAACCATCAGCACGCAAACTGTAACGGGGATCGACGGCCCGGACAAGCCCTACGCTTCCTTCACTTTCTTTTACCGCGGAGAACGTAATTGCACCCCGTCCTGCATTGAGCGTCATGCCTTGGTGGCTCTCAGTCTTGGTTCATGAATTGCTAATCCTTCCTAGGCCAATTGCAAAAGATAGGCATCATTGCCTCCTCCAAGGCAGCACAGACAACGCCCAGTTCAGTCAAGAGGCGGTCAGGGCAGTTGGACTTTTCCAACTTGGGTCCTCTCAAACCCTCGGGTACAGTTGGTTTCTCTGCTTTCAGAGACCAAGACACGGAGGCCGCTAAAAGACGGAAGGCTCGCAAGAAGAGCAACGGCAATGTCGGAGGAGCTCTCAACGACGACAGCGACGATGAAGACGACGAGAACGAGCTCATTGGCAAGATGCAAGATATCGATGAAAAGGATGTGGATAACAAACTCGCCCCCGAGGATGTTAAGTTTCAGGGGGAGCTTGCCGACGGTGTAAATCGCATCCATGTGAGTACTCGTTTGGTTCCGACTTTCAGTTCGATCCATTAACAAAGTATAAATAGTTGAAGAGGGCACACTCAGCTGAGCCAGACCGGTCTGTGTCTGCGGGTGCTGGAGGCAATAATGCCTCTTCTAGCCTCGCTGGCCCCTCTTCTGTGACGACGGCAACCTGCGGCGATGGTCAAGTGGCAACAGGCACTGATGAGTCGGTGCGATCGACAATTGGTAGCCCATTGAAGAAGCACCGCCCTAGCATTAACTCGGGAAATGAACCGGCGGGGTTGTTGCCGCCTGGATCTAACCCCGGGTTCGGTGAAATTTTGAAGCAAGCACAGACGACAGTACCGTCCGCCTCGACTGAAAAGGACGAAGAGGAGGAACTGTGAAGCTCACTGCCTCGAATTAAAAGACGTACAAGACTGTAGACGACCCGGCCTCGCTTGTACCCAAAAGGCATGCGCCGAGGACCGATGCCAGTCGTCGAAGGACCAAACTTGGCCACACAAGGAAGGTCAACAATTGTATCGTATAGATGGCGAATGGATCGTCAAATGGCGACTACTGGCAGATTAGAGAAAGGTACAGTGCCAGTTGGCTTGCTTGGGCCGAACAATGTCACGCCTATTGGATGGCTGCGCTGGCAATTAGAGTGTCAAACCGACATGAGAGCTGCTAGCCTTCAGAGTCCGCGAATACACGTATTTACATGTGAAAACCGTGTTAAAGGAGGATACAACGCAGTCCTCTGCGTAAGCCCCTTGAATATGGCGCTTTTGTTTTGGACATCTTAGCACGCGTATACGAGCGGCTTCATGCTAGTCCCGGCTTCTCCTTTGATATACATTCACTGAGGCGCTGCTGTTGGGTGCATCACACAGAGACAAGGCGTGGGTTCATTGCATTTGCAGACGAACTAGAGGAAAACTTTCTGGCACTGATTGATATAAGAAAAATGGCATTGCGAACGGAATATGTACTCTAACAAATGTGGACAGGTGCGAGGAGGGCTACGCAAAGACTACGCAAACACTGCTGGCGCAGTCTGTGACATTGGGGTTTCCTTACCCGCCCCGCCGCCAACTTTGACCTCTTGTATCCTGTCAATCAGCCTGCAAACTGTCTTTGTATTGTCAGCACGTCTTGTCCAGGCAGGTGACTTTCTCAAAACAAAGCAAGAGAGCTACAGTCAGACTGTTGAGCTTGATATAGTTTGGATCAACATGGTAATTCAGTTGGCCGTTCTTAAGAAGAGATAATCATCATCGTAGCGGGCTGCGGGAGGCAGGAGAACAGGGCAGGAATGGAAAATATGCTTACCTAGTGTGAAGAGCAGAATTTTCAAACCGAGAGACGGCTAGAAACAGCTGAATCGTTGGTTAGTGCAGCCATGAGCAAGAAGAAACATAAGCTCGAAGCCCAACCCAAATTGGACGATTTGCGACATCTTGGTACTTGGCTATGTGGTTGAGTGAGGAAGAAGATTCGTTGTGACCGGCGAATCCACGAAGAAAATTTGTAGTTGGAGGAAGACCCAGCTTTGAACGACCCACACGACCAAGCGACATCTTTCGAGTATTGCATAGCACATGCATCTATACGAGTGCCCATCTCAATCGCATATCGCAGAGGAGTGCCCTCACAGTGCGTCACTTTGGCCTGCCTAGGGTGTCGTTGCCCACCGCGACAAAGACACAACAAGAGCTTCGGCCTTAACCTGCTGGTGGGGCACACTGTATATCTACCTAGGTACCTACCTTAGGTACCACCAGGTGCCTACCTACCTTACTTACTAGGTTCCAGTTGGTAACGCTCTGCTCTACCACCTGCGCTAGGTAGGTGAGGTAGGTACCTCAAAAGGCAGTTTCCAGCGGTGCCATCGCAGCGAATCCACGCGGTGAGGGCACACACTTCTTGCCTACAGTCCTCTGCGCAGCTTCGGGCCCCTGTAAGTACCTCTGTATGCGTTCCCCTCTCCTCACCCACCAACGGCAGACTCACCCCTCTTCTTCCAGCCTGACGATAGCTCCCACCACCAAAAAGTGAACCAGACGTCTCGTCGTACATAAACGTCTTTCGACCCTGGCTTCGATTGTCAACCTACCTTACGTATTTGGCTTCCCACGGAATCAACCCACGGAATCGGACAAAATGGCTTCTAGTAAGACACTTCCCCCCCCTCAAGTCCCGTTGTCCTCTGGGTTCCAAGCTTTGCGCGCTCGAATTAATGCGCTGCGATGCGCCTGCAAGCTTCAATCCATTGCTTTCTCCCATCGCGCGGTGTCTTCCAACATTACGGCAAGTAGCTAACAGGGACGACGCAGATTTCGAAGAGGTCGCAAGTAGGTTTTTTTCCTGGTCGGTCACGAGTTTGACCATGCTTCTGGATCTCGCGACGCCCAACCTGAATCGGCCAGAAAACTGATCAGCCCCGTCAAATCAACAGAGCAGTTCATCGAGTTCTACTACAACCAGTTCGACTCAGACCGCAAAGGACTCGCCAGCCTCTACGTGAGATATTCTGCTCCTTCAATCGGTCGTTCGAGCCCTCGAAGCTAACGGTAGCAACAGCGCGACCAGTCCATGCTGACTTTCGAGTCCGCTTCTGTGTTGGGCGCCAACGCCATTGTCGAGAAGCTTTCGGTATGTTTTCCCTCGCGCGAGTGCCCCCGAGCCTCCGTGGCTCTCCGATGCAACCTGATTACTCACTCCTTCACACCGCAGTCCCTTCCTTTCGAGAAGGTCAAGCACCAGGTCTCCACGCTCGACGCACAGCCCTCGCTCGAAGGCGGCATCGTCATCCTGGTAACCGGACAGCTCTTGGTAAGCACGCGATTCTTTTCTTTGGCGTTCGGCCAACTTGAGCCAGCTAGCTAACTGCTGACCATGAAGGTCGACGAGGAGCAACGCCCCATGAACTACACCCAGGCATTCCAGCTGATGCGCGATCCCACTGGCAACTACTTCGTTTTCAACGACCTCTTCAAGCTGGTCTACGGTTAAATAGCTTGAACAGTGACGAGATACATGCGCTCTACGTCTGAGCATGAATTGCAAGTCGCGGAGAAGACGCGTACTGGCAACGGCAGAGACGACTTGAGGATCTCACCAACTCGAGAGTGTCGACGTACGGGTAGATATAGGACATGACACTCCTACGGTCTTCTTTGTTTTGTGTTTTCCTCCCCGTGCATGGGGCTAGGACGCACATGCCGACAAGTTGCCAGCCGTTTAGAAATCAAACACGCTTCTTTTAAAATGCTCGGCTATAATGGTCGAGCTTCCGAATCAAACACTAACGCATGCTTCCTTGACGTGACGTACTGCCTCACCCAGCTTTCTTAAGTCGGTTCACGCGACATCGTCCGTCCTCTTTGTGTCGTCGGCGTCATCTTTAGTCGCCTCTATGCTCAATATTATCATTCTCCCATCGTTGTAGTCGTTCTCATCATCGTCCCTGATCATCGCAACTCATAGTCGTCCTCGATCAAAGCTATCTTAAAATTCACGGGTATTGAGCACACGGCAAATCTAGCCGCGCAGACACAGTTAAATTAGGCGGTCTCTCAAGTAACGCCATATCCTCCCCGCAAGTGTTGATAAAGGAAAGGAGGCGGAGAGAAACGACTCTGACATCTCATTTATGCAGTATATACGCCCTCCCCCACTCCATTTTCTCTTCTCCTGTTTCATTGCACTTGCATTGAGGCGTCTCCATCGCGGAAAACCAGCTGAGCATGTTTGCCGCGAACAATCTCCTCGTCGCCGTCCGCTATCATGCCTCTCCCCCCTACGCCGCGTGTACCAAACCCCAAATCTCTGATCCGGCCACTGGCAATGTCATAAAGACATCCGTGAACTGTAAGACCACGCTCCTTTACTGCCTCTTGAATAGCGAAGTTGGCCATGAGAACTCGGACGCCAGCTTCGACGTTCATTTCGGCAATGCGGACGGCGCGTATATCCTCATCTTTGATGGCGGCAAGTTCTTCGATATTCTGAGCCCGCACGGCCTTCAGCGGTGTCAACCATGTGTCGAGCACACCTCCAACGCGGGAATCGCCCAATGCCGCCTTGGCACCACCACACGCCGAATGACCACAGAGAACGACGTGTTTGACTTTGAGGTGTGTGACGGCATACTCAACGACGGCTGAGGTATTAATGTCCGTTGGAGCAACGATATTCGCTATATTACGGTGGACGAAGACATCTCCTGGCTGCAGACCCAGAATCGTCGTTTCCGGAACCCTTGAGTCGGAACATCCCAACCACACTGTTCATCGCACGTCAGCTAATGAAATGGAACAGCACCAGTAGACCACCCGGGTAGAGTCTTCCAGCTGGACGAGGAAGAGGGGGAGAGAGGAGCAGACAAAGAAGGGTATAGCGAGGGAGAACCTACGGATAGAAGGGGACTGTCCTGTTGCCAAGTTTTTGAAAAAGGCTGGGTTCTGATGCGACTTATATCCAGCCCAAGCTTGGTTGGAGCTCAACGCGTACAAGAACTTGTTCTCTGCACCCGACAAGCCGTGTTAGCTCCCAGCGATGGCGCCTATTTTGATCGTTTGCCCGCATCGACAGCACTTACGGTCTTGAAACGCCATGGCGACAAAATCCTTGAGGTCTCAGCGATTGAATAAGAAGAGAAAGTGATAGTAGTGCTGTGAAAAGACCCAACCACGATGGGAGCAGTGAAGACCCGAAGAGGCAGATGTAGAGCTGGTGAGGATGGATAGTAAGATGGTTTCCGCCCTCCAAGTGCTAGCTGAGACCTGCAAAGCTGTACTTCTTTCTCGACTGAGTGATTTTGAAAACCACTTGCTTAGATATCTCTCGGGGAATGAAAGATAACCGGGCCGGTCTCCAGATGACGGATTCGGTCTCTCACACTGGAGTCGAGAGAAGCTCACGCATGAAGGGGGTTCTGGGGCAGTGGATTCCCGGTCGCAACAACTGGAAATCCTGCGGTTCGGCGTTGGAGAAGGCTAGGCGGCTCTCACACAGCCGGTGCTAGCCAAACTATGGGACGCGGGTAGTCGGGAGGGAGGTCGAGATATAACTGGGCTGCGAGTTATGGCGGATGCCGAGCGCCGTGGTGTGACCTGGAGATTTCTCGTGAAATCGTCGTTCCACTTACTGGAAAGGACTGGGATAATCAGCGTCTGCCATTAAATTCCGAGTCTTCAGCGGAGGAACCGAAGGAGGGTGGGTGTCGCAGCAGGTTGGATGAGCGGAGAAGACGGGAGGACCGGTGGTCAGAAGGAGGCATTGTGTATAATACAGCGTGCGTGTGTAAGTGATCACTCATGTGGCATGCAAAGGGATGGTAGCCGGCTGCGCTGAGAGTAGGAACTTGCATCAACATGGGCAGAGACATGCAGCCGAACGTGGGATGTTGGGGAAGAGGGGGCGGACCGACTGAGAGGTGATCCAATAAGACGAGATCGGTTGAGACAGGCAGAACAAACCTGACAGATGAACTGGGGCAAGGAGAAGCGCCTTTGCCAGAAAGCGCTGCCAGAGCGATGAGGACAGATCCTGCAGAGAATAGCAAGATGTTACCACGCAACAGTCGCGAAGATGAGCAAAAGTGATGCGTACAACGATGGCTTTGGGTGGGGAGGGGAGAGGAGGGGGCATGCAGATAATATAACTAGAGAATGTCACTCCGTACAGCTAACTGCAGAGACAGCGAATCGCAAGGAACCCAGCTGGCTTCGCTCTCAAATAGCAGCAGCAACAGTAGATGCAACAGGGGATGGGCATGCTTCTTTTAGATACAGAATCAAACGGAGCCAAGACTCGACGAGTCGCTCAAGACACCTTAGCACGAGCAAAAGCTTTGCTATCCCAGCATTGCTGCTCCGTATGCTCCTCATGCCTTAGATCTCGTCTTGTCTCTCGGCTTCTCTGCCAACGTCTTTTGATCGAGTACCATCCCCAGACAGCAGCTCGGATACAAGTCAAGTGCGTGCTCGTTCTGGGCGTCAAATGCCCCGGTCGGCTTGCATGCAAACCCTTCGTATTTGTGATTGCCACATCAGGTTTGAAAGAGTGTGTCGAAACCGCCAAAGGGCGGCTGACTACCCGGCTCATATTTGGCCTGCACACAATGACGGACTTGATCTTCGACACAGGCTGACGTGGGCCACAAGCATTGAATCTAACCCATCCATGGTTGCTCAGTAACCTACTTGAAGCATACGGTGACTGATCAGAGTAGCGGACGTAAAGCCGGGCTAGGGGCCTCCCCCACCCTGAAACGACACATCTAGAAGTGCCAAAGCTACCAGGTTGAAGAGGTACCCATAATAGAATGTGTACGCTTCCAATGCAGCATGGTGCTCCAAATACCTCTCTTCCTCCCACCTCACCTTTTGATCTTGCCTCCTACTGCTATATACATACTCCTAGTACATCTTGCCACCTGTGGTCCCTCCATGTGCTGTGAGCTTGTCTGCCCCGCCAGTCCCGGGCACCGCTTTTCCTAGTTTAGAGACACCCAAATCTAGCCGGTCAGTGTGTTGACGGGGGTAGTGGGCAAGGATTATCTGCCTCAAGGTTACGACATACCGGGATTGCAGAAGAGCGAGAAGAGTAGTACATGAAGAACCTTCCCCGCAGTGCGTAGGTAACTGCCAAAGTGACCCCGGCCCCTGGACAAGTTCAAGCTGTCACTGTGAGCGCAACCATCCCGTCCTTGGGGAAGTTTGGCCAATTTAGCAAAACCACAGAGCAAGCTTACTCGGTTCTCACGGTACACAACATGAGTGGTAGTGAGGAGGAGCCAAACTCCTGCCTATTTCTGAATTTCCAGCCCGCAAAAGCAAACGCCGGGAAGGAATTCAGACACGAGACACCGGACAACGCAGCCTTGACCCTGTCTCTAATGGCTACGAATGTCCGTCGGAACAGGCAGTGTATCGCTATAGAGGACACAAGACAGAATCGGACAAGGGAAAGAAAAAAAGAAAGAAAAAGAAAGGATTCCGGTGTCGTGGCGTACCAAAATTCCTAGCTGACGCCGTATGTGCATACCATAGTACTCTGGAGGGGATCTTCTACGAGCATACAGTGATTTCGTTCGGCTCTAACCCCTGCCGCCGACCAACCCTCACAGAGAGTTGCGCCACAGTGTACTAGTGTTTGGTTTTCTCGTCGACTGTCGCCCATGCGCACCAGTTAGGAAGCCGTAATAATGAGCTGGATGATTCACGTCATCGCTTTGGCAGGCGGAGATCCCGCCGACAACCTGATAAGTTCTGATACACAACATTTGGCTCGGATTATTGCTTGCGCTGGGTGATGCTACTACACGTATGCGTGGGCACATCTGATGAACGAGCATGATCATCTGCATCCCGAACTGGAATCTGGTCAGGACACACGACACACATTTTTCAGTCCTCAGAGTTAGATGCGAAGGGAAAACCTGAAGCGTGAACCGAAACCCAAATGAATAGTCATCCCGACGCCATGCCAAATTTTTGTAATCCGATAACCTCCAGTGGCCTAGTCTCCTAATGCACTAAAAGCAGTCCGGGTATTCGTCCTCCTTAGACCTTGATAGCGGTCTCAAGCGCCTTCCTCTTCTTCTCGGTGCGCTTCTGTGCCTTGGCACCCATGATACCACCACCCCACTGCTTTCTCGCCTGCTCGGTCTTCTCGATGTAGCCGTCCTTGATGGCAGAGACGAGCTTAGACAGCTCGTTCTTGTCCTCGGAGCGAACCTCGGTGACAGCGAGGACAGCGGCGGTCTGCCCTTGGTTAGCGTCTCAGCAACCACGATTTGGAAGTTGCTCACCTTCTTGTGCACAACAGTACCGAGACGGGCCTTGCCCTTGATAATAGCGAAGGGGACGCCCATCTTGCGGCAAAGAGCGGGCAGGAAAATGACCAGCTCAATGGGGTCAACGTCGTTGGGGATCAGGACGAGAGAAGCCTTCTTGTTCTCGATAAGACCAACGACGTGGTTGAGACCGTACTTGACAGTGTAAGGCTTCTTGCTGACATCCTCCTTCTTCTTGCCCTCCTTGATGGCAGTGGCCTCCTTGACGAGACGCTCCTTCTTCTCGGCCTTGGTCTCAGGGCGGTACTTGTTGAGGAGCTTGAAAGCCTGGGCGGCAGTGTTGCGGTCGAGGACGTGCTGGAACTGGGCAATCGCAGGGGGGACCTTGAGGCGCATGCTCAAGATCTTCTTCTGGCGCTGGAGACGGACGTACTCGGGCCACTTCACCATGCGGGACAGGTTGCGGCGAGGCTGGATGTCCTGGCCGATGCCGAAGTTGCGGGGCTTGCGCTCAAGAAGGGGGTTCTGGGAAAGATGTCAGCCTTGACTGAGCTAAGCGGACGGGGTTGTGAATTTGGTACTGACCTTGGGAGCCTTCTTGGAGCCAGCCTTTCCCTGAGGGAAAGGGGCGGGTGCCACCTTCTTACCGGACTTGGGAGGCTGTCATTGAGAAAGAAAGACATCAGCGAGTTGTTCAAATCAACTTGTGTCTTCCCTGAACTCTAAAGAGAAGGACGGCAAGAAGCATTGACGCCTCACGGCAAATCAATCCTCTGCCGTCCGCTCAAGCCAAATCATCATCATCACACCGTCCTGCGATGTGTGCGTGCCAGCACCGCAAGGACAGGCGGGCGGATGGAATAATCACAATGCGCGTAGGCGACATTGGATGTTCTGGCCACGAGGGCAAACGTAGGCGTCGACGTTCGGTGTGCACTTACCATTTTGTCGGTTGTCGTGATACTGCCGTGGAGGGGGATGGATGAGGGACGACACAACGCTGCGTAGGCTCAGGATGGCGGAGACGAGAAAAGGTCTGCTTCGGAGTGTGGGCTGGAGTTAGGGCACAAAAAAATTCTAGCTGGGGTTTGTGATAAGGCTTGAGAGAAGTCCGTGCTGCAGGGGTGCTATCACCACGTGACGTTCACCCCAGCTACCAGAGGCTCGTTTTTGGAGGTGCCCGTCCTGGCTCCGCCAGGTACCTACCTTGGGTGCAGGTCAGAGGTTTGTGTTGCTCCGATTGGTTCTCTGACCGAAGGCTCACCGAGGTGCCGGTTTTCTGAGTACCCGACGCTAGGTAAGGTACTTACCTGCCTTCCCTGTTGACGAATTGCCCGTACCCAATTACTCCTTTCTCAATCAAAGGTGGATTTTTGCTTTTCTCGCAACGCTTTACCGGATTCCATCACAAGGCCAGCTTTCCTCGCGGCTTGAAGAAGCTGGGTTTTCCTTCACTCGGCGCCTCTGGCTTGGGCCAGCAAAGAGTTCGCCACGCTCATAACTGTCAGCATTAGCTGCGCCCCAGCTCATCGCCATCATGGCCCCTGTCCTTTGCGCCAACTGCAAGACAGAGCGTGCTCTTGTCAAGCGGCCCAAGAACCACCAGAAGCTCTGCAAAGCCTGCTTCATATCGGTTTTTGAGGAGGAGGTACACCACACTATAGTGTCCTCCGCTCTCTTCGCTGCCGGTGAGAAGGTTGCCATTGGCGCATCTGGTGGCAAGGACTCGACAGTACTGGCAAATGTGCTTAAAACCCTAAACGAACGGTATAGCTATGGCTTGGAGCTTGTGCTTCTCAGTATCGACGAAGGAATCAAAGGCTACAGAGACGATTCACTGGAGACGGTGAAGAGGAATGCTGTCCAGTACGACATGCCGCTGACCGTCGTAGGCTACGACCAGCTGTATGGTTGGACGATGGACCAGGTTGTCGAAACCATCGGCAAGAAAGGAAACTGCACGTATTGTGGAGTCTTCCGCCGGCAGGCGCTGGATCGTGGCGCCAAGATGCTGGGCATCAAACATCTTGTTACCGGTCACAATGCCGATGACGTTGCTGAGACCATTCTCATGAACCTCTTGAGAGGCGATCTACCTCGCCTTGGTCGGAGCACTAGCATCACCACTGGCGACGATTCCAGTGACGTCAAACGCAGCAAGCCGCTGAAATATTCGTACGAGAAGGAGATAGTGTTGTATGCTCATCACCAAAAACTCGACTACTTCAGCACCGAATGCATATACAGTCCTGAAGCCTTTCGAGGCACTGCACGCACCTTGATCAAGAACCTCGAGCGGGTGCGTCCCAGCGCGATTTTGGACATAGTTCGGAGCGGCGAGGATATGGGGCGACTCGTTGCCGGCGCATCCAGCAACTCATGCGCGTGCAAGGGCGACTCTGGTCGGATTGCCGAGGACGATTACGCCAGTGGTTGCGGCTCGCAAAATGGCAACGGGTCAAAGGGGGAGATCGCTCGGCTGGACGCACAATTGAGCCAGACTACAGATGATGCAGACCTGGTAACAGACTACACGACAGCGGTAGCCGGAAAGAAGGAACCCCACGCAGACATAGTTGTTGGGCAGCCGAAGCCCTCAACGCAGCAAGCGGCGACGAACGGTCCCCTTCAGAAACTGGGCAGTTGCGAGAGATGCGGTTACATGTCAAGTCAGGCTGTCTGCCAGGCCTGCCTCCTGGTAGACGGGCTCAATAAGAATAAGGCAGAGATCCGGATATAAAACAGAGGCAATTGCCATCATATGCGCCCCTCTTCATGTGCACCACCCATCATCGCGGACAGGAGAAATCGGTGAGGCTGGCACACCCATATTTAACTGAAAGAAGAAGGTTTATTCCTTGGCCGAGATGACCAAGGCTGTCAGAATACGCCCGAGTATTGAAATAGAGTACATTTCTTGGTATCATCCCGTGCATTACGAGAAACGCTTCTCTAACTGTGCCTTTGTCAGCTGCGATGCCCGAACTTGATTTCCCTGAGTGTGCTTACCCTCCAAGGGTTGTTGAGTTCGAAGCCTGGAGGCGCTTCGGCGTTGTCGATTTGACCTCGCAGGTCGCCCGTAAGTCGACGGTCGCGATCCATCACTAGTGGAAATGAAGGTTAAATATCAAGCCGATTGCAAGGAAAAGTCATGATCTCGGAACGGTGCGTACTTTGCTGCAGGCCGATTGGTTAGCGTTGGTCATGGCGAGGCGCGCAGGAGAAAATACTCACTCTGTCCCATTGATCCAGCCCCCAACGAGGTTTCTTCCCACCATTCTGGACGTATTTGATGACGTGCAAGCCGGTGCCGGTAATGCCAAACATCTGGACTGATCTTAGCGTCTGCAGGTATGATCGAAATGTCCGCGTCTGGGTAAGCATGGGTAGCTCTCACGGCAACCATGATTCCATAGGGAATCAGAGTCTCGAAAGGAACAGGCATTGTCGCGGTGACCTTCCAGTCAAGGATGCTCAATTAATTTCCTGTGTACAAAGAAGGAAGAGGCAGGTAGCGAAATAAATGCTTGCGGCTGTCGCGGCTCTAGGTCGAAGCCGAGATCGAGGTCGATGGCGGGATGCGGCGTTGCAGAGTGCCGGCTTCTTGAGCTCAATCCAATACACTGGTTGACGACGAAGTCGCTGCCGTCGTTACCTTAACCAGCGGCTGGTCCAGATCAATGGCACCACGTGACTGTCCTGGCATCAAACTCAATTAGAAGCGTTTTGACTGGTCATGGACATCAGATGTGGATACCACTACACTGTCTAAGTAGCACTGTGCAAAAGTGCGCCCACTGTACCTGACAGTGGGCCAGGCCAGGCAGGTGCCTACCACAGGTACCTGCCCAAATTACATACGTACCTAAGGTAGGCTCTCATTTGCTTAAGTCGCATCCCTTGGGAACAGGCCGGCGAGTACCTCAAGGTGGTAGCTCGCGGTTGAGTCGCCAACGTGTCGCCCCTTCGCTCGCGCATAACTCGACCTAGCATCTTGGAGATACCAATTGCATACTCAATGCCATCCCAGACGAAATAGATTGACGTCAACACCCCGCGCAAAGCGTTTCTCGTTCATATCAAGCACCATTCTGATATTCACTGGATCGCTCGTATCCCTGGTGTATCGCCCACGCGCGCGCTCAGTCGACCCGACGCATCAAACGAAACGAGCCAAACGCGTCGACATCGCCGAGCTCACCGCCAGCCTTAGCCACCTTTTCTCCTCTGGGTAGCTATGGGCTGTGGGAACCGACATTGTGTTCTTTGTGGACGTGTTGCGCAACAATAACTTTCCGTCTCGAACGAGCCTCCGTAACGAGCGTTGTGCGACAAAATGGCGAGTGCGCATCTTACCGAAGAACAACTGCAACGAAGTGCGGTGTTGTCAGAAGAGGAGCTTCAGAATAACGCTATTCTGTCGGATGAGGATGTTGAGCATGAATCGGCGGTCCGAGATGCTGTCGAAGATGGTCGTGGGAGTACTGAGAGCCCGTTGACGAACCCGAATACCCACGATGACGGCTTTTCAGACGCTTCTGGCGATGGGGACGAGCAAAGATCCGTCAGTGCCCTGGCAGACGACCTGGAGATGGGCGAAAACACAGACGAGGCCAGCGATCTCTCTCAGGCGTCTCTTGACGATGATATGGGTAACGATTCTGAGGAGGACATGGGTGCGCCTATGGAGCGCGACGGTGATGACGCCTCAGCAGGCGCGCGAAGTCGGAGCAGTAGTCTTCTGGAAGATATCGAAGAAGATGAGGCTGAAGGCGTTGGTGCTGTCAAGATTCGACCAGGGGAGACCGATGATGAGGTAGAGCTTGACAGCGAGCACTCGGACTCCCAGAGCGAGTCTGGAAACGAGTCCGACGGTGCCGCAGCATGGGAAGACGCTGCTGGGGGCGAAGAAGACGACGAGGAAGAAGGCTCTGAGGACGCCGCGCCCAACACATGCATGTTCTGCAGGCAAGACGAGGACAACGATCCTGGAGAGGACTTTGAGGAGTACCTAAGCTGTGTCGTCTGTGGCGAAAATTGTGAGTGGCCAGGCGTGTCTTTGGGCAGAACCACGAAGCTGACTGATTGTGTAGCACACCAACATTGCGCCAGAGAAGCCAATGTTGTAAAGCAGCTCACCGGTAAGCTCCTTAGCTAATTTGCCTAGTATTCCAGGTGCACTGACAAGACGGTATTTAAGATCTTCAGCAGTGGAAGTGCCCTGAATGTGCTGCTCCCGATGACGAACCGTCTTTCGCGGCCTTAACCGATATTTCTCATCGACCTGAGCCCGAGCATGAGATCGAGCTTGAGCTGTCGCCTTCTTCGAGGAGGTCAACGGCATCTCAAGTGGCGCGCGACTTGCTTCCTCCTCAGAAGGGTCCCGCGAAGCCTGACTCTCATTCGGTCTTCAGCCAGCTTCTGTTAGACGGCGACCCTATGGATGGATCACGCGTTCTTCGAAAGCGAAAAACCTCTTCCGTCGAGGCGGATGAAATGGTCATGTCTCTTCGGAAACGTCGCAGAAATGCCTCCAAGGATCGAGAGACCAGCCATGGCTTGACAACGAACCAGGATGCGTCTGACGGTCCTGCAGAAAAAGACGTCCGCCGCAAGCTGCGACTGAATCCCGCTAGGAAATCCCAGGCTGTTGTCGTTACCCGTCGCCAACGCTCAACAATCGTCCATATGCGCATAAAGCCATCCTCACTTCGCCGCGTCTTGTCCAGAAAAGCAACATCAAATCGGAAGAGATCGCATAGGAGAGATGGTGCCTCGTCGCGTGGTGGTGTTTCAACGGTTGTGCCATCAACTTTCACTGCGACAGACTATTCACACCCCTTCTACTCTTTCTATGATCGCGAGACAGATGAAATGAAGACCAAGCCGTACGGAGGGATTCTTAGCGAAGCAGAAGCCGACACGTCCAGAACGATGCCTGCCAATGATGACCGTCGGCGATTCGACGAGGCGAAACAAAAGGCGGAAGAAGTCTGGAGAGCTCGTCTTCATAGTACTCAGGCTATCCTGGGAACGCCTGCCAAGAAGACAAAGAAGAATGCTGAACCGGCAAGCCAGATCGAGTGCATCGATTTCGGCGGTTGGGAAATCGACACATGGTATGCGGCACCCTACCCCGAAGAGTACAGTCGGAACCGAACTTTGTACATTTGCGAGTTCTGCCTCAAGTACATGAACTCAGATTATGTAGCCTGGCGTCACAAACTCAAGTGTCCGGCTAAGCACCCTCCGGGCGACGAGATATACCGACATGGTTCTGTTTCTGTTTTCGAGGTTGACGGCCGAAAGAATCCAGTCTACTGCCAGAATCTCTGCCTGCTGGCCAAGCTCTTCCTCGGATCCAAAACACTTTACTACGACGTCGAGCCTTTCCTCTTCTATGTGTTGTGTGAGTATGATGCTCTCGGTTATCATTTCGTTGGTTATTTTTCCAAAGAGAAGCGGGCGAGCAGCCAGAACAATGTGTCCTGCATCTTGACCTTACCAATCCATCAACGAAAAGGCTACGGCAACTTGTTGATAGATTTCTCATATCTGCTTACTCGTGTCGAGCGCAAGACAGGATCGCCCGAAAAACCACTTTCTGACATGGGCTTGGTTTCTTATCGCAACTACTGGAGGCTAGTGCTTTGCCGTTATCTCTTGGATCATATCTCGGACGCCAAGGCGGCTGCTCATGGCTTGAGTGTCCGGCAGATGTCTGATGATACGGGCTTGACACCCGACGATGTCATTTCGGCTCTCGAGGGTCTTCGGTGCCTCGTCCGCGACCCGCACACTGAGTTATACGCTTTTCGAATTGACCTTGCGTACTGCACCGAATATATCTCCAAGTGGGAGCGCAAGAACTATGTCAAGCTGAATCCGGACGCGCTGACTTGGACTCCGTATGTCATGGGCCGAGGCAATGCTACCAACTTTGAACTTGGCCCAGCTATCAGTGCCATTGCACCCCGCGAAGACGATGAAGCCCAGAAGCCGGCTGAGGAAGCAGTCTCGGTTCTCCCCCAACATGAACCTGCTGTCAATGGCAATTCTATCAAGGGAACAGGAGAGAAGGCCATGGCGATTGAAAGTGCGCCTTCAACCAATGAGGATACCGCAGGAGATGAACTGGATGAAGCCGAGGTGCAGCCGGCGGTCTACGAATCCATGGAGGTACACGAGGACGACCTCTCAAATGGCGACAGCGGCTTGGCAGCGGCACATGAGGAGACATACCAAGAAGTTCAAGCGACACAGGCCGACCTGGATCAGCTTTCCCTAGACAACTGGACGCTGCTGTACAGGGATGTTCCGCCGTCGAGATTCGAGGTGTACCCGCCTCCTGGAGGCCGTCGTGCAGATCGGCCGCGGTCAAGCGTATCGCGGCCGACGGTACCTCGAAGCAACAGTAATAACTCGCGACCACGACGGCCGGCCGGTAGCAGCAGCAGCGTCAGACGGCCAACATCAAGCCGGCCCAAGAGCTCTTCGTCATCGTCGCGTAGGAAGACGGGTGGAACTGGGCGAGGGCCTGGACGATGGCCTAAAGGTACTAAGAAGAGTGACTACGGCAACGCTGACAGCGGACCTGGTCTTCCGCCAGCCTGGATTCGAGAAAGGACGCGGCTGGCGGCGCTTGGAGGTACAATTGGAGAGGATGAAGGGTCGAGGCTGGAGAATCAGGAATCAATAGATGTGGCCCGGGTTCAACTCCAGGTCGGGGCGCAGCCGGCCAACTTGATGGAAGAAGCTACTAGAGTTGAAGACAGCGGTCACGGAGACGCGGGTGGCCAAGCAGAGGATAAGTAAATGCCACAGCTGATACCCCTAATCATCATTTCCTAGGCGTTCGGTCGACACACTATGTGGTAGAACATATAGTAATTTCAAACTTCAAAAGCCGTGCTTGTTCAGCAGGTGACCGGAAGCAGGCAGTCGCTGGCTTAGTGCTGCTACGTGAGATCAAAGGAAGGCAATAATACATGGGTTGGTTATCTGCTTGCTTGGACGTTTGAGAAGAGTGTTTGAGAATGCGGCGACTCCAAGTAGGCGATGGGAAAATGCGCCAGGTTAGGCAGGGTTTGGTGGTTGGGGTCCATCTCAGTCAGTTAGGTACCTAACGGCCAGGTCAGGTACCTCCCTCAGGTGGTTGACGCGTCGCAGAAGCACAGAAAACGCAAAGCACTGCGCAATTGCCGTGCCTCGGTGGGTAGGCAAGGTAAGGAAAACGGCAACGGAACGAAATGTTGGCGGGTCAGCTTCCAAAACGGCCCCTACCTACCTAGGTAACCAACCCTGCTTCACAAAACAAAAGTACCTAAGGCACGTTCCGATCTACAACCGGGGAGAGTGCCAGGCGCACTCGTACTCACTCACTGGTCTGGCCCAGCACGGGTCGTGAGGTGCCTGAGGCACTCAGCCCTGGTAACCATCGTATCCACATACAAGGCACCTACTCTAGGTACCTTACCTCCTGAGGTGCCTTGCGCTGAATACATAGCTCAGTGGACTAAGTACCTTCCACAATGTAGCGAAGGCCCCTACCTACCTAAGGTAACGTACTTTACCTACCGTAGGTACCTAAGGTAGGTGAGGACCGTATCGTAGGTAGCAGTGACCTCATCAGCCAAAGGTGCCCGGGCGCCTCTCAGAGCCAGCATACCTTGGGCACCTATCCGATGCTAAAGCAACAGTCAGGATGTTCGCCTCGTCATACGGGTTTATTACTCAAGACCCCAAAGGTTAATCAAGGCATCTCTGGGCGAGACGGTGATGGTTGTCGGGATGCTTGTGCGTTTAGGCGCCAGCTCTTGGGGGCGGGCAGTGCCGTTTGATTGATTCCAAGAGCCCATTCCCACAGGTTGCTGTGGGCAAAGAACCTAAGGTACTGGTGAGGTGTGAGGTAAGGTAGGTAGGTGCAGGTACAGGCCGAGTGCAGGCACAGGCGCAGCGAGCACAGGTGCTCTGGTGCGTAAGTCGTGTCTCCGCTCGCCAAGTCGCATTACGCAGCACCCTTCGCCGCACATACTGCGGCACTGCCAGAGGCGTGACACTCTCCATTCGCAAACCAAACTTGACTTTTGGCCTGACCTGTCATCTATCCAACTTATCTCTAATCACCTTACCACCACCAACCTTACCGACACCTTATACCCAAACATCGTGCCTGTGCCCGATTTTTGGCCATCGGCACTCCCAGCAAAACAGGCAAGTCGGACCATTGTTGCCGTATCGCGAATTGCGTGCTATACAGGATTGAGAGGAAGCTTTGCCCTGTCAAGCTGTCTTGTCGTGTCATTCGGCATCGCCTTTGGCCCTTCTGCCGCCATTCTTCTTCCACTTGCCTCTTTCCCGCCCCCTCTACCCTCCCACGACTGAGCGTCTCAACCCATTCAATCATTCACTCGTTCACCTCCTTCCGGGTTACAAGTGATTGAATAAGCAGGGTGCTCAATTTTCCACCGGCGTCCAGTGACACGACTGCCTTGGCCTCTGCAACCAGGCCCGCTTGCGACGCCGAGCGCCCCATCAACGGTCATTTCGACTACTCGTGGGACCGGTCCAAAAGGTATTTCGTCAACCACAATCTCCATTGTCGACGACCTGCCGACCGCAGCCTCTCTCCGCCTTCAGCTACGTTGTAATATTGCATTTGTCGCTGACCGCGTCGATCTTGCTGCCTTCAGCACTCAAACATCACCGGCGAATACAGGTGACCTTGTCTGTCCGCCGACGACTCGCCTGCGTTGGGCCCAAGCGCTTTCTCGCCCAACTGCGCTTGGTTACTTGCGCACTCTAGAACCTGTCGGAAGGCCATCTTGCCGACTTCTTCTTTCTCATCGGCCTCCCGACGCTCCCGACAGTTCACCGGAACACCCTACCGACGGCACCGATATCGCCCAACAGTCTGTTGCCTTGTTTACGAAGCGAGCTTAGTTGGCCATTGCCCGCCATCAAATTACGATAGAAATCAGCCGTCAAAATGTCCAAAGTCATCCGCAGTGTCAAAAATGTTACCAAGGGCTACTCAAGTGTCCAAGTCAAAGTCCGAGAAGGTGCGTTCTACACCGCGTTACTCCATTTGATTACACTTATGGCCAGTGGCTAATTATCATTCCCTGCCTAGCCACCAGTAATGATCCATGGGGTCCGACGGGCACTCAGATGAGCGAAATCGCACAGCTGACATACAACACGTGGGTTATCTCCCTGCCCATGAATCAGACGTCGCATTAATGGTTATTTACAGATCGACCGAATTTTACGAGATCATGGATATGCTAGACAAACGTCTCAACGATAAGGGCAAGAATTGGCGACACGTTTTGAAAGCCCTGAAGGTGCTTGACTATTGCCTGCATGAAGGGTCTGAGCTTGTCGTTACATGGGCGAGACAGAGCATCTACATTATTAAGACACTGCGCGAGTTCCAGTACATTGATGAAGACGGCAGAGATGTTGGCCAAAACGGTATGGTTCTTCTGTCGAGCAGATTCTATCGTTTGCCCGTTGACTAACTGGGCGGACTAGTCCGCGTTGCTGCAAAGGAACTGACCGCGCTCATCCTGGACGAAGAACGGCTACGGGCTGAGAGAAGTGACCGCAAGTCATGGAAATCTCGCGTCACCGGCCTTGAGGAGTTCGCACCTCAGCAGATGGGACCCACGCAGCCGCGGCCTCGTCGCCGTCAAAGCAATGAGGACGACACGGAGTACAGGCTCGCCATTGAGGCCAGTAAGCACCAGGAGGAGGAGGATCGTAGAAAACGCGCGAGCCGCGCTGCGAACGAAGCCGAAGACGATGACCTTGCCAAGGCTATCAAGCTTAGCAAAGAAGAGGACGAGCGACGTCGGCGAGAGATGGAGGACAGCAACGCGTCTTTGCTATTCGACGACACCCCGACGCAATCGACGCAGCCACAGTACACTGGGTTCAACCAAGGTTATCAGCAGGGCAGCGCTGTTGATTTCTTTGCCAACCCCATCGATCAAAGTCAGTTGCAGCCGCAGCCCACAGGCTTCATGCCGAATGCCTATACGGGCTATCAGCAACCGCAAGCGACTGGATTCCAGAACGGTTACGGCGGCGGCTTCGGAATGCCACAACAGGGCATGAATATGGACCCTTACGGGCAACAACAGAGTATGCAGGGATTCCAGCCTCAGCCGACAGGCTACAATCCGTATGCCCAATCACAAGTTCAAAGCCCTGCTCCTCCAGAGCCCGTTGCACAACCAGGAAGCAACAACCCTTGGTCGACAGGCACCATGAAGGCGGGGAACCCCATGAAGCCTATGCAAACAGGATCGAACAATCCATTTGCTTCATCGTTTGGTCGCCCGCAGCCTCAAAGTCAGCCTCCCATGCCCGCGATGCCATCTCTTGGCAGTCTTCCGGAACAAAAGACACTCTCGACGTTCAACCAACCACAGCCCAGTTTCAATCAGCCGAACCAGGGATCTGCTGCCTTTGGCGCTCCGCAGAAGGAGTTGACGGAGCATGAGGCGAAGTTGAATGCACTGCTTGCTGGTGGTGATGGCATGGATACATTCGGCAACACGGGTCAGACGCGTATCCCAGCACAACACACAGCGCCTGGGACATTTGTCAATAGTGCTGGAGCAGGTGCTAATCGCCTGACAGCGGAAGCGACGGGAAGCAATCCGTTCCTCCGATCCCAGTTTACCGGTATGCCCAATATATCATATGGCGCTCAGATGCCTGCCGCGACAGGGCCGGCGGGAATCAATGGTAGCAATAATCCTTTCGCAGCGACTCGGCCGCAACAGCAGAACACCCAGGCGCAAGACCTCATACAATTTTAGTCACTTCTTTTCTTTCTCTTCTTTTCTGCTTTCGGGTCGATTGTACGGAGTGCGCCAGGAAGATGTGCGGCTGGCAACTGCTGCCTACGTGTCATTGGCGTTATCAGAACAGGCTGCAGGTAGCGCGATGAGGAAAACCAGCTTATCATTCGTATCGTATCGTATCTTACACACGTTCTTCTTCTTAGAGGTTTGGCGTGGGATAAACTTTCTTCCTTTCATTGGCGTGTGGTCCATTCCTGCTCAGAGGCCAAAATCTGAAAAATCAATTCTGTTTATCACCTTGTTATTGCTGGGCTGTCTGCCCCTCTCTGCTATCTGGACCTGCGGTTGGTAATCTTTTTGTGGTCATCAGCTGCTCGTCATCGTGTTTTGCGATACCTTGTGCGCATAGTGAAGGGTTTCCACTAGGGAGAAAGGACGGTCTGTAATGGTTATCGCTGCGAGTAAATCGCAGAGTCAGGGCAGATACCATGCATGCAGACTGTGGAGATTTATGGTAACGGTCGTAGAGCTATTGGATGCCACGCTCGCATGGCCTGTGATCGCTGGTAATATGTAATTGTAAATATACCTAGGTAAGGAATTTGGTAGTTAAGGCAGGATGAAGCTGCACATGATCGCTCCTGCTCCTGCCTGAACCTCGCTGTCAGCTTTGCTATTGGCTCAGCCGGCAAGCTCTTTTGTTTGGCCCAATCACAGGACATTGCTGTCCTCAGGCAGCAATGTCGAGTAACTACCTGCGCCAGGTAGATGCTCTAGGTCTCCACCTGAGTAGTCGAAAATTACTAAGCCAACACCCTAGGACTCGGAACGCCCAGTGAAGGCGACAGCATTCCGCCCAAGTTCATTAGCGTAAGCGTACTTAAAAAGTAGCAGTCCCTCTGCTTGCACCTCACTCATTACGGACAACAATCTGCATATTCGACCGCTCTCTTCTTACTTACTGTTCATCTGTAACATCGAGAGTAGTTCTGCTGCTGCTTGGGTGATTATCCATCTTCATCGCGGCTCAGCTCTTGTTTACCCTGCCCGGTTTGATTGGTTGCCGCCCCACCCCGGTCCCTTTGGTTTGATACAGTCCTTCTGTACCTTACTGCAAGCGACGCGCTGCAGCACCCTTCTACCCACCCCAGCCATTTTTTCTCCACGTACCTCTTTCTGTTCCGTACCTTTGCGCGACACTCAAAGGGAGAAAAATCTCGGCGACCAGCTGTATACAACACCACAGCTTCCCACGCCACGTCGCCAACCTATCCGCCTGACGCGCCCACCGGTCATCAACACCGACGGCCGCTTCCGACCCGACCGCACTGCATGACCGCCCATAATTGATTGTAGGCGACTTCACCTGCGTCCGCGACTCAGATCCCTCGTGCGCGTTCTCGCACTCATTCTCGTCATCCTCAATCTCAGCACCAACAGTCGCTGCTAGCCTGCATCCATCATGTCTGGCTTTGGCAGCGGCAGCTTTGGTGGCTTTGGCCAGAGCAACAACCAACAGTCAACTGGCTTTGGCGGCTTCGGAGCCAACAACGCGACCAGCACCAGCACAGGTAAGGCAAAACTTGCGTCGTCGCAACCGCCAGCGATTCTGTCGCGAAGCTTCATTCAGACTAATCAACCATCTCCACTAGGCTTTGGATCTGGTACTGCTACGAACAGCGCCTTTGGGTCTACCAACAATACCAACACGAGTGGTGGCCTTTTTGGCAACACTACTGGTGCCTTTGGCGGTGGTGGCACCTCTTCAAGTGAGTTTTACGTCCGACATGCTCCTTTCATCTACATTGAGCAGTATACTAATTATTCATCACCCTAGGTGGTTTCGGTTCTAACACCAACACAACCTTCGGGGCCTCAAAACCTGCTTTCGGAGCTTCTACGTCTACTGGAGGCGGCCTTTTCGGCTCCAACAACAATAATAATACCAACAATACTACCCCTTCTTCTGGGTTTGGAGGCTTTGGCGGGAATGCAACTGCAAGTACGTCGTCTCCCTTTGGAGGATCTGGCGGAAATCTGTTCGGCGCCAGCAAGCCTGCCTTTGGCTCCACGACGAACAACACTACCACTGCCACCGGCACCACGTCCTTGTTCGGCGGGAACTCTGGCACCGGCTTCGGTAACAACGCCGCCACCACTGGAGGCTTTGGCGCGTCCCTAAACCCAGGCATCGGTTCAAATGTTGGCGACCCTCCTGGCACGGCCATCACACCGTTCCAAGCGCACCAGGAAAAGGAAACTGCCGGAGCTGGAAATCAGTCAAACGCGTTCCAAAACATTCTCTTCCAAGAACCGTACAAGAAGTGGTCTGCGGAAGAGCTGAGACTGGCTGACTACGCACAGGGACGCCGTCATGGGAATGCTAGCGGAGCAGGCGCCTTTGGTGTTTCCAACTTTGGCAGCACCGGCTTTGGTGCGACAAACCAGCAGTCTGCAGGTTTTGGATCAGGTGCTTCGACCGGAGGTGGCTTGTTCGGCGGTGCCAACAACAACACGAATGCGACGACAGCCACGACCACCGGTTTTGGCGGTGGTTCCGCTGGGGGGTTCGGATCCGGAGGCGGTCTGTTCGGCAATCAGCCCAAGCCAGCTACCGGAGGCCTGTTCGGAGGAGGCAGCACGACAACATCCCAGCCTGCTCAGTCCGGCGGGCTGTTTGGCACAAGTTCGGGGGGTGGATTCGGCACCACAAACACGTCCAGTGGATTCGGGTCCACTAACAATAATGCCACCGGAGGACTCTTTGGATCGAACAATACCGCTGCGAATCAAGCCAAACCTGCCGGCTTTAGTTTCGGCAATACCGGGGCCACGACCGGTGGATTCGGAGCGAGTAACACGAACAGCGCGTTTGGTTCGAACAACACCACCAATAATGCGGGCACTGGCGGCGGGTTGTTCGGCAACGCTGGCCAGTCCAACGGAACTGGACTTTTTGGCAACAACCAAGCCCAAAGTCAGCAGCAAGGAACTGGATCAGTCTTTGGCGGAGGTGGATTTGGCGCGCAGAATCAGCAGCAAGCGGGCTCGTCTCTATTCGGCAACCAGCAAAAGCCGGCCACGGGCGGCGGTGGTCTTTTCGGAGGAGGTGGTACATCGACTACAGGCGGACTCTTTGGCGCTGGAGGTGCCCCTAACAACTCCTTTGGCGGAGCAGGCACGAACAACTCAAGTGGCGGTCTCTTTGGATCCAAGCCCGCTGCTACCGGTGGTCTGTTTGGATCCAATGCGGCAAGTCAAGGCACGAACGCTAGCGGAGGTCTGTTTGGCGGTATGGGCACGAATCCCCAGGCGCAACAGGCAGGCCAATCTTCTCTGTTCGGTGCCGCCGGTCAGAACCAGGCAAAGCCTGGCCTATTTGGTACTTCACAGCCCGCCGGCAACAGCTTGTTTGGTGGACAGAACACCCAACAGCAAGGCTCTTCGTTTGGCGGCAATAACGCACAGCAACAGCACCAAGGCTCTATTCTCGGTGGCTCCATCATGGGCAATACTCAAGGAATCAACTCAGGCCCTCAGTCGCTGACAGCCAACATCACTGATGTTTCGGCCTTCGGGTCTCCGTCCTTGTTCTCCAACCTCTCAGGTGCTGAGACGCCTAACCCAGGACCGTTGGCCACGCCCCTGTCTAGCAAGTCAAAGCCGAGACGCAGCTCCATCCTTCCGATGTACAAGCTCAACCCTGCCTCCGCTGCCCGCTTTGTCACCCCTCAGAAGCGTGGGTTCGGATTCTCATACAGCACATACGGTACCCCTGGCGGTAGCCCATCCAGCGCCGCTAGCACTCCGGGAGGAGCCAGCCGCAGCCTGTTGGGGTCTTCGAGCCTAAATCGAAGCTTAAGCAAGAGCGTGTCGACTAGCAACCTGAGGAGAAGCTTCAATGCTGAAGATAGCATCCTCGCACCTGGCGCTTTCTCGGCTAGCTCTGGACCGCGCTACTACGGGAGCAATGGCAGCGTCAAGAAGCTGATAATCAACAAAGACATGCGCAGCGACCTATTCTCTACGCCGACCAAGGACAAGCCGTCTGCTGATCAACTCAATGGCTCTCGGAAATTGTCGAAGCGCGTAAGCTTTGACACCAGCACCGTGGAGGCCCCGGAGGCTGACGACGTTGAACCCATCAACGCCTCGACGCCCAGGGGTGTTCCTCCTCAAGACTTGACTCCTGCTAGCAACAGTGTCAACGGATCAAAGCCCCCTACCGGAGACTCAGAACAGGTCAAGGGCAAAGAACTCGCCATCGTTCATGAAGAGGACGTTTCGTCTCAAATACCGGCAGTGGCAAACGATGGTCTCGATAAGGCCCCTGGCTCATACTGGATGAGTCCTACCAAGGAGACTATCGCTGGCATGACCAGAATGCAGCGCCAGAGAGTTGAAAGCTTCACCGTGGGAAGAGACAACGTTGGATCTGTCAAGTTCAAACCCGAGGTTGATTTAACCAACATTGACCTCGATGAAATATTCGGAGGGATTGTCATCCTCGAAACCCGCTCTGCGACCGTATATCCTATCGCCGCCAAGAAGCCTCCTGTTGGCAAGGGCTTGAATGTGCCTGCTCTGATCTCCTTGGAGCAGTCCTGGCCGCGCGGTAGAGAGAAGCGCCCTGGCCATGATGTCAGGCGAGTTGCCAAGCACGTCGAACGTCTCAAGCGCATAGAGAACACCACCTTCGAAGAGTACAACCCCGATACTGGCGTTTGGAAATTCTCGGTCGAGCACTTCACTACTTATGGTCTGGACTACGACGAGGACGAAGAAGAACCTGAACAGTCGGATGATGTCTTGGTTCGCGGCAACCAAAGGCACGGGTCCCTTCACCAGCTACCTTCTCGTGACTCCGAGCCAAGCCCTGGGGAGGATGACACATTCGACTTTCGCAGAAATAAACGACGCGCTCTCCCTGGTGCTTTTGAAGAGAGGGATGAAGAGTACAGGGGAGAAGAGCATGATGATCTCAGACGTCCGTTCCAACCCCAGTCTTTTTTAGAAGATAGCTTCGCGGGTTCGACGTCGAACGCTCTGGTTCTCTCAACGGAAGATGAATCGGTTGACGAGCATGATGTCGTATATGGTATGTCTGATGATGAGGATACGGCCGGAACTCACTTCAGACGCCATCTTGCCACGGAGCAGACAATTGACTCGCCAGATGGTGACATGGTTGCCCCAGCCAGCGAAACTCCTGGAGGCATTCTGCGAGCCAGAATGCGAGCGCTGAAGGGTTCAGCCACTCCTATCAAGCTGCAAGTTGCTGGAGGAGACGAATGGATGAACATGCTGCAAAGATCCGTTAGTCCTCAGAAGAGAGACCGAACGTTTTTGCGAAGTGTGAATGAGATAGCATCGCGATCGCATGCGGCAGAAACAGAGATAGGTCAAAAGGGGCGTGTTGTGTCAGACGGACGCGGTTTTGCGACGAGCATCGATTTAATGAACTCGCTGTTTGAGAAGGCCAAGGCTCCCACCGCCGCGCCCTCGAGAGGATTTGCTCAGGTTGGTGAATACTTCATGGTCTAGGGACCCCCCTCTCATTCGCTGTTCGCCGTTCGGTTCAGAATACCACGCGGCTTTGTGTAATTAATTTTGAGATCTTACTGAGGCAAATTTTCGTCTAGTGGCCCTATGAACGACAGACCAAGTCCTTTGCTGACCAGTCCAATATGAGTGAAGCCGATCGCGCCTTCCACAACGCCATGAAACCAAGCTGGGGACCAGATGGAACTCTGATCTTTGCAACGACTCGCGAGCCTTTTGGTGCAGCGTCCAGGCGCTCCAAGACGGATGATCTCATGTTGACGAAAAACGTTGTTCAAGCGCGAGGACGATTTATTGAGGCGGCCAAATTTTCCAATGAGGCAAGTCAACGGGGAACGAGATAATGACATGGTTCATGGAGCTAACTGGTCCAAGGCTTCTGCAAAGGCTCTCAAAAATCAGGTGAAGATGACGCAAGTAGAGCTCACTGGGGGCATACCTGTAACGACTCTACACGTCGACACCCTCATGTCTCTTTTCCACGACCAAGACACCACCAGCCCTGCCAACGCACATGAAAGGCTGGTCTGGGAGCTTGCCAGTATTCTTTTCGACGGACCCGCCGCCTCTGCCGATGAAGACCTGGGGAACGAATCTCGAAAGAGTCGTTTGTCCAAGTTTTGGGCGGCGCTTGTTGATTCTGCATCATCTCGATCGGTAGCGCTTGCGAGGTCTAGCGAAGAGAAGGCCATTGCAGCTTTGTCAGGGCACCGCATCCAAGACGCGTGCAAGTACCTTTTGGATGGTAACAACTTTCGCCTCGCAACCTTGGTCTCGCTGATTGGCAGCAATGATCAGTCTAAGAAGGACATCCGCGAACAAATTAACGAGTGGCAAGACGCCAACTTTCTTTCCGAGTTTGCCGACCCCCTACGCGCCATTTATGAATTGCTGAGCGGCAATTCAGGCGTGTGCGAGGGAAAGAAAGCAGTACCTCTCGAAGACCGCGTTGAGTCGTTCATCATCTCACAACGTTTTGGCCTAGATTGGAAGCAGGCCTTTGGGCTCAGGCTTTGGTATTCTATTTCACCCAATGATCACCTTTCGGCAGCCGTTCGTCTGTTTCAGGAAGACATAGCTCAAGACAGAGAACAGCGTCCTCAGACATGGTACCTCGAACAAGGTATACCGGCACTCTGGAACGATCAACATTCAGAAGCTCGCGAGGACCTCCTATGGGGTCTTCTTAAGCTGTATTCAGATGCCGAGACTGACTTGGAGGCTGTACTGCGACCGGAGAATAGTCAGCTGTCGCCTCTAGACATTCGGCTGTCTTGGCAGCTCAGTCGCGCCCTGCTATCCACACATAAGGTATCCTACGGCCAAAACACGTCTGAGAAGGCCGATGCTTCGACCATCGCTTTTGCCGACCAGCTCGTCAGCGAAGGAAGCTGGCTGGAAGCCACGTTTGTCTTGCTGCATCTCGGCAACCCAGACATGCGAGCGAAGGCTGTGCAGGAGAATCTTTGTCGGCATGCGGCCCTACTGGGATCCGAGACGGGGAGCAATTTCACAACTCTTACGCAGACACTCAAGATACCGCCTCCTTGGATCTGGGAAGCTCAAGCCCTGTATATGAGAGCTGTCAAGAAGGACGCGGCAGCTGAGGTACATTGTCTACTCCGAGCCGGTTCGTACCTAGAGGCACACAATGTGCTCGTTCACCAGGTTGCGCCATCGGCGGTTGTCAGCCGCGATTACGACGAGCTGGCGGTTACTCTCTCCCGTTTCGAAGGCCACGATCATGTCATTCCTAGTTGGACCCTCGGAGGTGAGGTCTACAAGGCCTTTTTGGAGCTTGTGGGCCGCCGGAAGCAACGGCAGCAAATTTCCATGCAAGTGCTCGATAGGCTTCTGTCCGGCCTGCCAGCTTTGCGAGAGAGTGCTGAGAGTGGAAATATAACCAGTCTGGCAGCAATCTCTGAGATGGGTTCACTCGTGGTTAAGGTGATGGCGGAAGTACCAAGACATGATCAGGTAAGAAGTCTCTCTAACATCGGCCTTGTATCAATGGCCAGGCTAACACGTCGCAGGATGATGTCACTCGAGTATTGAGCCTTCCCCTCACTGAAGACGCCCATCTCAAGCATGCGCTTAACATGAGCCTTTCCTACTACCAAGGCTTAATGGCGGGGGGTAGATGATGCATTGTGGATGGGGTTTGAGACATGGTTCACTGGGTATGGCGAGCGGCATGGTATTTCGATTGCCCCACGAGAAGTTTCACGGGCATTAACGTGTTTTTGTGTTGTCAAAGTAGCCACACTCTGGAACTTCTATACCAGAGCATAATTTGTATTAGAACATTCAATCAGCATGCGGCTATAAGTTGCCGTTGTTCCTAACTGTCAACGTAGCCACAGTTTTGTCACTCTTCCTTCCGATGACCCCAGAAGCCTTTTCCGTAGCTCACAAGAACCTCATCGCCCTTACCAATACCGCCTTTCCCTCGGCCACTCTTCCCTTCGGACAGTACAAACACAGCCATACATTTTTGCTTGAACCTGTGACACCAAACCTCACGAAACTCGGCATTTGGTCGTTGGGCAATGCCTCGGTAATCGTTTATGAATCTGGCCTCATTGCCGCCCTTGCTGGCGTCGACGGCAATCTCGGCGTCCCTGTCTAGCCATAGATCGTAGTCGGACTTGGATGGCGAGTCTGGATGGACCGTTCCGAGGTAAGGAATGATGAAAGCGCCTGGTTTAAGATGCCGGGCGGCAAAAAGACCGCATTGGCCTCTCGCCGGGTGGGCACTCTCAAAAATGGGAGTGATTTTGACCAAAGGACTCGGTAATGCCGTGTCTTGCACCTGAACTTCAGGAAGCTCTGCTGTCTTTTGTGTTATCGTCTGTCGCTGCGGTCCGCTAAGTGAACGGGAGTGAACTGGCGCCGTGAGATAGACTAGCCCTGTCGGCCAGTTCTTGGGCTGCATCACCGTCATGCCGGCATCTAGGCAAATTGTATGTCCCGAAGCCCTCGATTTCGCTCAAGGCTAATAAGTCAGACCATCCCCAGGCACGAAGATACGCCGCTGAGCCAGCTAATGTGGCCCGAGCTCGAGCTCAAGCTCCTCCCTGATGGCTGACATAATCGAAGGAGCTGTGAGTTCTAACTTCTAGGCGCCCGGTCTCCGAAAAAATTTCTCCCAGCCCGTGCCGTTGTGTACAACAGCTGAGGAGAGCAAGGTAGGGAGCCCTGACGCTGGTGGCGCCCCACGTGGAGTTCTCCCGAAACCTGAGCCGACTGAGGTCCCCATGGTCCCAAGGTCAAAAACTCCAGCGTGTCCCCGGATCAATCAACGCCTTTCCAACCTCTATCGGCGGCCTGGTTCTTCCTCTTCCGTCCACCAGATCGCCCTCTAAGCAGATCCATCACGAAGTCCGCGTCGGATTATTTATTTTCTGGAAGAGAGCAGAGGTCAGTCAGCCCAATTACTTGCCAACCCCCACGCGCATTGCCGCCAAGCTGTTGTTCCGTCTGCATTGCACGCCTGGAGACGGATGCTGCAGAGATGCCCATTTTTGTCGCAATGTTTCTACCGCGTCAACAAAAACACGTCCAAACGTTCACCTTCGTGACTTGATCGAGCTTCAAGCCGGAGCTGGACCTGGACGTGTAGCTGTCGCGGGACAGAAAGACAGAAAGAAAAGAAAAGACAAGCGCAGACAGAGGAAGAGTGCCGAGCGCACCTCGGAAAAAACCTGTGCTAAAGCATGTAAATTTCTGCAGAGAACATCAATTGAAGTCGCCCTGCCCTCCGGGACTCGACGCGTTGTCCCGCAACGGACTGCCGACGCGTTTGTGGATGCGCAAACCCGAGTTGGCTTTTGATACACGAGTCTTTCGATTTTTGATCTGGACCCTGCGCGCCTGCGTCCGTTGTCGCATTATACACGCGATACCCACGGGCGCCCTATAACGTTTGTCAGCGCCGCTCTCCGCGGAAGCCCCATCAACCACAGATCAAGCGCTACAATCGAATAACACAGTTGCAATGAGCTCAATTCGGGAAGGCGAGACAGAGGAGGAGAGAATCCACACACAAACCCTCCAGGATGAGGGACTTGCCACAGAGGGAAGGATTCCAGAGGACCACGTGTCGGAAGAGCGCATGCCAGAGGATCGAATGCAAGATGATCGTATGCCAGATGATGGGATGACTGACGGTCGCATGCCGGATGAGAGAATGCAGAGCTATCCATCACCCACGGTCGATGCTCAGGATGCTGGCCCATACTATCACTCAGCTTCCAGAGACGATTCTCAACAGGAACCTCCTCCCCCGCCCACGCCCCAGCAGCAGCCGCCTCACTCCGCCAGCGTCGAAGAGCTGCAGCTGGCTGCTCAGCTCGGCCAGGATCTGGCCGCCGAGCCCATGATGCACGTCACAGATCCTAGCATGGATGTCGAAGACCCCAATCTACGGAGCATCATGCCACACCCTGAGCAGCCTCAGCACCAGCCTCCTCCCCGACCCTATGTGCCCGAGGAAACCTTACCGGACTCCCTTCCTCAGCATGTTTCTGTTCCTGTTCCAATGGATCACCACCACCTATCCCAGACCTATGCTCTAGGAGACAGCACTCCCCCAAGGAAGCGATCCAAAGTGTCTCGTGCTTGCGACGAATGCAGGAGAAAGAAAGTCAAGTGTGATGCCCAGTCGGACTCTGGAGAAAACCCATGCTCAAACTGCAAGCGGTCTGGAATTCGTTGCCTGTTCAGCCGTGTCCCTCAGAAACGCGGTCCTAGCAAGGGGTAAGTCTAGTTGGCATTAGCCTCTGAGATGTCGCTGACTGGATTTTATTAGCTATATCAAAGAGTTAGCCGACAGGATCAACAGTATTGAGGGCAAGCTGGAGATCCAAAGTAAGTTTGCGATGTTTCGATAGCAAATGCCACTGTAACTAACATTTGCAGGTCCTGGCGAAGATGTTAGCCGGAAGCGGCCCTTCTCGAGTATCTCCAGTGCGGACTTGTCCACTCCAGCACCCACGAGACAGACTGCCTGGGGTGCTGAGCATCGTCCTCTTCAACCTATGGCAACTCCGTCCGACAAATACCAGTCCTCTCCCTTTTCCACCAATGGCCTGGCTCCCCAGCCTCTACCCATTAAGAATGACATGCAGCCGCGGCCGCCGGTGGCTCCGATGGACGGTCCTGTTGCCGACTTGCCCGACATTGATCAGCCGCGCGACGTAGATGACGCCGTATTTGATGGGTGAGTTCTCTGTCACCGCCTGAGGGCCTTGCATTTGTGGCTTGCGTTGCTGATCTCGAATCTTAGGTATATCAACATCATTCATCCTTATCTTCCAATCCTCCCAGGCAGCAGAGCTCTCATCCAGGATTACCTGGCACAGTGTCCTGGCCTTCTTCGCGAAGCGTTTGTCGAAGCTCTTTCCGGTACCATGCACTCGTACCCGACTTTCCAATCTGGAAACCCAGGCGATGTCCGGCTTGCCCACACCCTGCTTGTTGAATGGGAGGCCGGCGACTCGGCATCGCGCAGCCCTGCAGCTAACATTGTCTTCCTCCAAACACTGCTTCTCATGGTCATTGAAGCGGACAATCGGCAACTGGGTTCCATCGGTGCGCCTAAGGAGTCGCTCCTAGGTAGAGCAGTAGCAGGTGCCAATGCTCTGAAATTGTACCAGTCCAAGTTGGAGCCATCCGAAGCTGAATTTGGAGTGGACACGGACAGCCAACTCCGAGTCAGAATTTGGTGGTCACTTGTCCTTCTTGATCGATGGCACGCAGTGGGAACAGCAGTTCCCTGTCTGATTAGAGACGAGAGTGTTGTGGTGGTCCCTGGCCTGAAAGCAATTGTGGGCGAAGTGCCGCTTCTTTTGATCCGTATGTCCACTCATAACAAAGCTCGAATATTGACTAAAGACGCTGACAATCTTGCAGGGGCCTCTAAGTTTCTGGGCCGTGCCTCGGTGATGATTGCAAACTTTCAAGAACCATTGAACCCATCTTTCGGAGACCGAATGATTGGTTCGTTCATGGACGCATGGGTTGAGGACTTCCGTGAGGATTTGCCGCCTCACATCGAGGCAGGCACGTATCCTGTGGTTCATCTTGTCTACTGGCACTGCCGGCTGCTGGCCTATCTTCTCAACCCATCCGCTAAGTCAGCGGACGCTCTGTGGCCCTGCCAAGAAACAATTAGTCTCCTGCTTGGACAGCCGCAGCTCGTCACACCTCTTCACCATCACTTCACAGTACTCGCAGTACTAATACTGGTTGAGTTGGCAAAGGGGGACAAGACAAAGGAGGAGGCGACTCGTCTGCTGGGCGACTTTCGAGACTCATCTCTCCCGACATCTGTGTTTGATGGTCTCGTCAGGGACAAGATCGCCGACCACTTGCGGCCATCAACAACCGCAAGTACCACTGCAGCTTCTGTCCCATCGGCAATGGAAACAGCTGCTAGCCAGGGGCTTCAACATTTGGCTGATCTGGCCACTCTTTCCTCGGCAGCTGTGGAAAGGACAGAGGACCCTCCGGCTTATCGCACGGCTCCAAACTATGAGGATATGGGATTCGATCCCCGGCCTGTACTCCTCACCGGCTACCTTAATGTCGCCCGCGCAGCACAACAGGCAGCTTAGGAGCAAGCTTGTCGTGCCGTGCCGATGGAATGCAACAACCTTTCTGAGTATATCGAAGCTTGGTTTCAGTGATCCAGGCGAAGGATTGGCGACGAAAACGAACGAAAGAGGTGGGCACCGATGACAGCGCCACCGCGCCCGAGGCCTGTCACTGCGGGTTAACCCAGACAATCTGTCCGCGAAGGACGGGAGGATAAGGGGCGACAATCTTGACCGCCTAGGTGGATCAATATCTGTATTAATATAAAAAGTAATGGACAGTGCTTTACTACCAGCTTGAACCTTGCGTTTCTTCTCGTCGTCTCCAGTTGAATACAGAAAGTATCAAAATGCCACGAGCGAGTGATGTCGCGGGCACACGCGCTTGCCCTCGTAGTCTGGTAGTTGTCGTCCCGTCACCGTCAGTGTAGTTGCGTGATAGCATGCGAAGCTACTTCCTACCCGTGCCCTCAGTGTATCGTGTGAACTTGGGCGTCATGGTCAACAAGTTGGCGGGTAAGTAAGTGGGTGGCCGCGGAGGATTTCAGATGGCAGGGCACATGGAGTCAAGCAACAAGGATGCTTCACGTGGTCTCTGGGACTACCAAGCAGTGTAGCAACTTTTTGTAAGATATGCCTGCCTCTGGGGTTCGGTTCCCAAGCGCGAAGCTGCTGGTACCAGTTGCGCGGTCTTACCGCACTTTCTCAGACGCAGTGCGACATGTGGTGACGGCCTTCATGCGTATACAGCTACATCGGCTATCGACTATAGGAATACCGCGGCCTGATTTCTCATTCCGTCTTATCCGGCCGGCTGTTCAGGTGGCCCTTGTAATCCAGTTTGCAGGGGCGAGAACACTGAGGAGGGATATTCAGAGGCGACGGCAGCGACTGAAATCAATGGATCGATCGGTGGTCCTTGTCGCTTTGGAGTCATGACTGGGAGCTGGTTGTCTTGCGCGCCTGACGATTTCCAGTGCGGATGCCGTGTAGGCGCGATTCAGTCGCCCTGTCGCCGTTGGAGAGAGTGGCCTTGTCAAATGCGACCCGAGTAACGGAGATCAGCTCCTCGAGCAGAGATTTGTACAGCCCCCTCCCCAGACTCCAGCTGCAGTTGGCTTTTGAACATGGCCACCATATCCCTCAACATGGGAGATGCGCCGAGAGCCGCGCCGGGACTGACAATACTCGATCACACACACACACACACACACACACACACACACACACACACACACACACACACACACACACACGCACGCACGCACACGACCTAACACCATCACATCATCGCCCCGACAATCAGAAGCCGAGTCACAACAGCAATGATTAGCAGGCGGCAGTCAACACGAGGTTGACAACGGAGCCTGCCTCTGCCATCATTCCCAGCACCAGCGCCAGCACAAACATTAAACCTAATACCAAGCACACCGCTTGTGTTTTTGGCCGCCATCCTGTTCCGATGCTTCTTCCCTTCTTGCTTAAGATCGTAGAGTGCTACGCAAGCAGTATCTCCCACGACAAGACCAGACATCTCCGGATCTCGGAGCAGCAGCGACCATCGTGCACGGACGCATCGGAGGTGGGTGGCAGGAAACGTTGCCAGTGGGAGGGGGGGAGGGGACAGACTGCCACACTCCACTGCCCACAACTCAACGGATGGCGCATTGCCGCTGGTTGCCCTGCCATACCCTGGCGCCTAGGTGCCCTTCCCGCAAGAGGCACTGCCCGCCGTACCTGGATACAGATGGATACCACCAAGTACATAAGGTACTACATACACATGCACGGAGCACCCAACTCACTTGCCTGCCTGTCTTGTGTACCTGGGTCGGTAGTAAGGCAAGATGCCTAGGGTAAGGTGCGGTTACGTGTCGTGTATTTAGGGTCTTGCGTCTGTCCAGGTTACCGAGACCAGCCCGGACTCATATCCGACCTTGCAGGACTCGGTTTAGTCGACAGTGACAGTGACAGGACCGCGAGTGACACAGGCCGATGGCGAGGCGACACAAGCCGATGATATGCAGGAACGTGCAGACACCACCATCCAAAGAGCCCCACGAGGGCCCTAGGTTCGTGAGCCCTAGTCAGTAACCCGCCTGCACTCAATTGCATGCCTTCTCTGACTGTCAAACCCTGCCCTCATGCCTAAGGTTACATCGCCGTTCGACAGCAGTTCCGTCCTGTCGAGTACCTACCAAGAGCTCACGTACGGATACACACCTTGTCTGGCCTTCCCTGTCACTGGGCATGCGGCGCAGCATCTACCTGGCCGTACGGAGTACTAGCTTTGGCACAAGATGTGATATTCTTGTTCAAGTCCTCCAAACTGCCCTGCTGCACGGGTTGGATCGATTCATCACTGGTCAGGGCCTGCCAGATTGCTCGCAACTCACCGAGATTCACGAGGCCAGCAAACCCTCGTCTAAAACCCCTTGAGCAGCAAGTACAATCCCGCATAACTCAATCGCCGTTGCAGGGCATTTTATCTGATCAGGTGGGGCTTCATCGAAGCTACGTAGCTTGGTTCATTTCGTTGTTCTGGCGTCTGCCCCTCTCTCATCTCGCTGCAGTCGTCATCCCTCATATCTCTTTGGCATCCCGCCTGGTTAGTGACCACGGAGCCCTTCTGACAGCCATGTCCTCAAACTGTCTGTCACTGTACTAGAGTGTCGACAGCACCGAGATGTCGGCCACGCTGTGCGCGCTCGCGTGTCTGTGTATGGATCTCGTTTGCGCCAGTCCTCTATACGCACTACATTCAAGCCTTGTGAGGATTCTATGTCGCCTGAGCCTTCCTATATACAATCATTCCATGTGCAATAAGAAAGATACATAACTGTCATTATGAAATGAGACAGCCCCTGCGAAACCTGGCTTGTTGACAAAGTTGAGCAGAGGCCGCTGCCGTTCATCATTCATCGTTGTCTGTATTCCAATCAACCACGCCTTTAGCCTCAGCGAAATGCTCCCCGTGTGCCAGACGCCATGTCCATTGAAAATAATGTCGAGATGTAAGACACCCTCTTTTTTGTGAGCCGACCCCTTCTTTTTTGTTTTTCAATGCCGAAACCAAGTATAACATGAGAAACCCCCGTAGTATGCTGCCAAGATGTATAGGGGGGGGGGAGGAAAAAGATTGTGCTACGCCGACTCCCGCGAGAGAGCGAGAGGACTCATGGATGACCACACGATCGCGCCGTCTTCCTCGAGATCCTATCCCGCCTATGCTCGAATCCCTTGCGCCTGTGCTTGCCGTCTAAAATCGTTGGGCCGGATATCATGGGCGTGTACGCTTCGCAACTTTGCTCATATCAAAACGCCTTATTGCATTGTCCAAGAATCAGGGTTGAACGCCGGCATGCCGTCGGGTGATTCGGTGTATGTGGCGATGCCGTCGTCGAAGTGTTGGCCCCAGAATACGGGATCATCATCGAAAGTGACAGAGCCACCAGCAACAGGCCCGCTATCATCAAAGGATGAAGCCGCTCCAATGAACTTGGATGATGACTTGAGGAAGCTGTTGTAGTCAATGGAGGTCAGATCAGTGCCTGTGCCATTTGTGAGGTAGCTGCCACTGGCAGGATGAATAAAACTGTTGCTGCCGGTCCCGTACCCGTCGTAGTCGCTGCTGTCGCCTGGCATGAGGTTATCCTCTACCTCGGATACTTCACCCGACGTCGATGTGGTTGCTGCGAGCGTGGGTGCTGGCTCAGATCCGGTAGGGAAATCGAACATTCCGTTGAAGCTTTGAGCACCTGCTTGGCTGTAGCTAGAGGGTGCGAACTTGTCCGTCTTGTCAGCCAGATCAATGTGGCTCCAATCCACAGACGCGGTGCTCAGGCCAGCACTAAAGATGGGCCCATCGCCAGAAGCCCCAAACAGGTCGAAAGTGCCATTCGGTTGGTATTGCGGGTATTCGATGGCGGACAAGTCCAGGGGAGGGAGTTGGTTGTTGAGCTGCTGGAAGCTGGAAGAGCCTCTCATGAGCGGGGACGCAGCCTCAGATTTGACAAGCCGTTGCTGACGAACAGGACCAGAGCGAGTGGAGGCAGCATCTTTGAGGCTGTCACCAACACGTTCAGGCGAGTGACTTCCCAGGCTGCTGGTGCTGTGCAGTGAGTTTACACGATTCAGTTGGTACGGCCCGCACTTCTGGGATGCCTTGTTGTGCTTGTGTGCGGGTTTGTGGTGTCCGTTCTCATCAAAAGTGAGCATGCCGTCTGAGTGAACAGTATTGGCTCGGCGCCTGCGGATTGGCGGCTTTGGTCGAGGAGCTGTTGCGTCTTTATCGGAGTCGGACTCGGGAACGGTGTCGAGACCAGGCTCCTTTTTGTGGCTGCAAGTGCAACGACCACCATGGTTGCAACAACAAGTCTCTACATAATGGGGGAAACCGAACGAGTTAGATGAGGTTCATTGTGGAAGTCCGTGTCTTGGAGGACCGCCGTGTTGAGCGTGACTTACCTCGGTGGCCCTCAAGAGTCGGCTGCAAGTGAGTACACTTGCTCGTCTTTTCGCCGCAGTCGCATTTAACATGGGCAGCGCGCGACTTGCGCATCGAGCGGCAGTGTTGGCATTGGGATACGGGGCGTCCCTTCTTGTTGATATGCTGAAGGGGACGATCTGCAAGCGGCTGGTTAGTCACTCATATTTGATGTTTTTTGCTAGGCCGAGACTCAATCGCAAAAGTGACAACCAGGACAGTGACAACCAGGACAGCGACAACCATGGTAGAGTGGTGTAGTAGCACAATGACATGAGAGTCGAGACGAAGGTAAAACATGACGACTTACCAGAGTGTTGGCAGTTGCTAACACGGTGACCCCGAACGCAAGCCTCACAGGCATACTTCTCCCCGTCAATAATCATGACGGGCAACTGCAGCACAAGTCGCAAATAGGTTGGGAGGAAAGAGGGAAAAGAAAATGAATCCAAGTTCCCCGCCACAGGAAAGCGAGAAGGAGGGATCGAGACGATCGGCCGGGCGGTCGGTCGGTGCCAAAAAGAAACACACACAC